AACTAACCCAACCCGACAAAGGAACAGAGGTGTTTAAATACCTAAGGACCAACTAAAGCTAAACACAAGAGGGAGGAATTACACGAATTAACTAACTAAACCAATAACTTAATCAAAGTAACAAAAAAGCAAATAATTATAACACAGAAAATAATAAGTGATAATAATGTGGCCTTAACACAAACTAAACAAACTAACTTAGTAAAACAAACTAAATAGTGCTCCCCCCCTTTGCTGAGTCCTGATGGTCTCTCCCAGGGTCCTCCGTCCAGTGCTCAAAAAAACAAAAAGAACAAGTGGAAGTAAATTAGACTTATATGAACTAAAATGTGTGCACTCAAATTAGAACATAAGTCTAAATAAAGGAATTAAATTATGTGTAATGTAATTAACATAATGTAAATAATAATAAAAATGAAATAATAATGACACTATGGAGTGGTGGCAGAGGGATCCACCACAACATCAAATAAAAATATTGGTACAACATGCAATGTGCATATTCTTACCAGTGTTTCTGGTAATAGTTTCTGCCATTCATATCACCTGACCTAACACTATCTCAGACGTGTCATTTTTACCCATCAAATCCTGTTCCCCTTGCTCTTGTGTAGAGGACTTCTACTGTTTGAACTCCTCAGTGCACCAGCAAAGGTTGTTAACCCTCCTTCCACTTTTTTCACTATTTTCAATCAAAAAATGTTGACTTATTTGATACTGTTGTATTTTTTAGGACACCTTTGAGTCTTGATGGATTGTTGTCATTTTTGTCTTTTCCACCTCCGTCTCATTTTACGGTATTTGCCGGAAATGTCACTATAGCTGCAAGAAGCATTAGCCTCGCCTTAGCACCTCTCTTCTCAAGATAAGGGCATTTGTCCCTCCAGCTCCAATTTCCGGTATAACTGCTCTACACTCACCTTAAAGTAGTTTCTCTGACTCTGGAAAAGACCAGCAGTAACTTCAACACCTCAATTACAGCCCAGCAATCACGCCTTTCTCATCACTCTCCTCTATCAGAATTACCATATTTTGTATTTCGTAAACAACCCCTTTATAGTGTTCATATTCCAGGCCACACTTCAGCCTCTCTCTGCTCTTTTGTTTTGTCTACTGTGATGGATAAGGTCTTGTGATTGTTCTGTCAGACCTCAGGAGCATCGGCCCCACTGGGAGAGCACCCACTTGTGTGTCCCTGCACTACAGTTTAGTGCAGTTACTACAATGTGTTTTCAGTGCGCTGTGGTGTACTAGCCCCCAAAGGTGATCAGATTGGATTGCATTTACAGGCAAAGGGGCTGGATGGATGAACAAAGCGGCACTGGCCTGGACATTTCAGACATAGACATAATGTGGAAGTGTAAGATCTATGGGTTTGAGAAGTGCACTTTTGTGTTTTAAAATATATAGATGACCCATTAGGGGCATGAACGATTATGCAAAATATGACTCCAGTCTATACCTTAGTGTTTTAAATGGACTTAAATAGTAACAGATATTGCTTACTCTAAGCAACTAGGGTGTGATGGTTTCAGTGTGTAGTTACCTCCTTCCTTCAGACAGATATTTAATGAAGTGACTTTGCCTTAAGAATGGTGAAACATAATCCCTCCTAAAACCTTTTGTTCAGCTGAAAGACTTCAAATCTATTTTGTATTTTAGAATTTAAATATGCTCATTTAATTTTATATGTCCAGATATGTTTTTAATTAATTGGTAACTTTTAATGGTAAATAAGAGAACAATCTCCTTTATAGTCCATTAATTTAGTTTGAATGTGGTATGGAAATAGTGGAGCACTTATTACAATGTAAAATGTGCTTGTATTGTTTTGCTCAAAGCCTGTGCCTCATTTAATTGCTATTACAGCTTCACAGTAACACAGTAATGTCTCCCATCCCTTCCTTTCAATGAGTACCTACTTGTGGATTAATAACAAAACATCTTCCTCAGTCCAAACTAATTACAGAATACTGTTTTTATTTGCCCCTGTCAAAGTTGTCCCCTGCTGTTGCACATATGTGACACATGTGTTCATGCTTCAGCGGTGTTCTCTCTGTGCAGAGTCCTACAGTTAACTGACTGCTTTATTTAAGCCCACTAGAGCCCTTTATCCACGTATTTACTATTTCTCAATGAGACAATGAGTTGTCTTTGTCTGTTTGGTACAGAAGAACTATGTAGCAGAAGACTGGATGAAAACTCTTCAGATTAAACCTTATGTTTTGGTCTGCAAGTAAAACAGACACTGAAAAAATATTTGCAAAACACAAAAAATGTTGTGTTACATTATGGAGTGATGTGAGAAATGCAAGCAAAGCCTGCTTCTTATTAAAAATATAAATAAGACTACATTGGATTTATAGCCTGCCTTTCAAGATACCCAAGGCTTTTTACAGTGCATTATTCATTCACTCCACACATGGTGGTGGTATAGCTACCACTGTAGCCACAGCTGCCCTGGGGTAGACTGACATTTGTGCCATAGGTTCCTGTGGCCACCAATCACTCACACAGCACATTTATATAAAAAAAGGTGGATGAAATATCTTGCACTGACACAGGACACTGACAGTTTGCGTAGAGTTGCTGTCACACCACTGTGGCACCTGGTATTGGCACATATGACATACTGATATGGTATGTTCAATGTGATTTACAGTTGCAGAAATGTTCAGTGACATCTCATAACAACTCTCATAATTTATGTAGTTATTGTACTCAGTACATATCGAAACATCAGTTGTAATGTCAAATTACCTGGAAATGGAAACTATACATTAGGGATGCCCCAGACTTCTTCAGTATTGATACTAGTGCTGATACTATGGCTGTAAATATCTGCCGATACCCAATATCTGATACCAGGGTAGGAACTAAAAATCAACATTACTTTCCTAAAAACTAAAAATATTGTATGACAAAATAAGTTTTGTAGCTCATATTTATCTCTCAAATAATTACAAAAGAATGTTGTATTAAAAACTCAAGCACTGAGATTTTCTGGAACATCTATGACCGGAAAATGGTCTCATTACATCAATGAATAGACCTGAACATGTTATCTAATATTTTGGAATCAATACCCGATCCAGCAAATGTTCATGGATTGGTGCTGATATTCGATACAAGTACTGGTATTGCTACATCCTTACTATATGTACATTCCCTGTGTGTACTTGCTGGTGGGCAGGGAGCGTGGTGCATTTGACCAGCTGTTGAACTCAAAGCTCTTCTTCAGCAGGCTGCTTTCATCTCAGACTGCAGCTCTGTTTATGGAGAGAGGCTCAGTGTGTGGCTGTACTCTTGCGTCTGATACAGAGCGAGTACATTCACACTTGCACATTCACCACATCACAAATTTGACTAAACTAGGACTAAACCCCTAAAAAAAAAAAAAAAAAAAAAAAAGTAGAAGACTAAACCAGATCAGGCTAAAGTAGGAAAAGTATGACTGCACAAGCCCACAAGAAATGACCATTGTATCTAGGAATGGGAATACCACATGTGCTCTGAGATTGGATTTCTAGATTGTGCATAGGAGAGAAAGGTGTTGGGCTACCATTCCTTATGTATGTTTATGTATGAGGGCCATGGTGTCACTGACTTGTACATGCACTGGCAGGAGCTGAGCTGTTGTGGCCAGCCATCACTCAACACGTCGCACTGGGAGGAGGTATCATTAAACCTGACTCCAGAGGGCACAACAACAGCCACTAGTCTATTTCACGCTCATCATGGACACTTGGTGAAATTTTGCAACATTCATCCACTCCCCTTCAAATACTGTATACATTTACATGACAAACTACACGTGTCTAATGTTTAAATGCAAAAGCTCTAGAGATGTGCCATTTCTCAAGGAACAGCTCAAGGCGCTTGTGACTAGACAGTAAGCTTGTTTAACTTGCAGATAGCTCTACTGCATCTGTCTGAGGATGATGAATAATTCTTCCACACATATTGACAGGTATAATGGCAGCTAAATGCTAGGTATAGCAATAGCATGCACTTACCTGTTTTATGACTAAGTGCATTGTTTGTCATCCTGTCATTCTGTAGCAGGAGAGCAGCAGTGAGATCAGGTTTCCTGGAAAGAATGGATGAATCAAAACATCTCTATTTTGAAGAACATTGATCTGATAGTGGAATAGTGGAAAACTTTAAAGCAAAACTTTCCAGACATGTATAATCCTTCGATATTAAATATCCTGAATACAGTAATGGTTATTTATCAAAGAACAGCTCAAGGCACAAACAGTTATACTGTATATGTTATGTACTATTTAAGAACAAACAAACAAACTATGTATCACATCAGCTCCAATAAAATATGTACAATACCAGTCAAAAGTTTGGACTCTCTCATTTAATGTTTTTTTCTTTTCATTTACATCTTTCTAGGTTTGAGATATTCAGAAGATGAAGCTAGATAAATGGAATAAGTCAAGAAACAATGTTAAATAACTCTTTAAATAACTTTGATATTCAAATCCTCAAATTTTCCACCCTTTGGTTTGTTGACAGCGCTACACAGCCTTTGCCTTTTCTCAATGAGCTTCTTGATGAAGTCTCCTGAAATGGTTTTCACTTCACAGGTGTGCCTTGTAAGGGTCAAGAATTGCCACAAGTGCATTTTATGATTTTAGATCTAACACATTTTGAGTGATTTTGAGTTTGTTTGCTACATTCCATATGTGTCCATTCAAAGTTTTAATATCTTCAGTGAGAATCTAATAATCAAGGAAGTCACCTAAATAAATAACAAAAAAAATTATGAAAAAGTTTGACCAAACCTTTGGCTGGTAGTGTTCAATCAAACTCTCCCCCTTACTCAAATGGTTTAAATTTGTAAATTCTGAGCAGGTTCTATCTGACTATTAGAAATATTGTATTTTTTACAACATAAACAATTCACAGATAAGTAGTAGTGCCACAGCAAAAGAGTGAAACAGTTTATATCTATACAAAGAAAGTACCCATTTTTAAAGTGGATTTTATTTAGTAGAATATGGCATGGACAAAAACGAAACATGTTCACAAACAACTCGGGCTGATATACAAGTAGCAGTCCACCTCTCCTTCTCTGAGATGTCCTTCTTTGATGGAAAGATGCTCAAGAACACCAAAATGAGTGTCTCATGTTTCAAGAGCAATGTAATCATGATAAGTCAGTCCTTTGTGAAGATGTGTGACGAGTGAGATGTATCTAATCTGTTTACCACACAAACTAAGATTATAATTTAAATGAGATTATATGAATCATTTATTTTATTTATTAGCGTTTTATAGTGCCACTGCTTGCATGGACTCATTGACTATGGGTCTGAATCGCAACACTGGTCCACCACAGTACAGTTTGTCTTTTGTTTTGGAGTCCGAACATATGGTGAGCACTATTAAAAGCAACGTCTGCACAACATGTAATGCCCCAGCCATGCATAATTTTTCTCAGACACAGTGTTTGTTCGGTGTTGTTAAGGAAAACTCCTGAATGCATTAGTTCGTACACCAAGACCCAGGGTTAAAATGGTCTTGTATAAAACATGGTTAATTAATTTTGTATTACAGCTATATATGCCTCCTTCAAATAAAACACGTTTGGAATTTATTGTCTTGCCTTCAATAATTAATAGTCAGTGTTTATATTAACAGTTTGAAATGTATATTGATGCTTGAGGGAACTACATATGTCATTTCACTGCAGAACACTTAACAATAACTATTATTAAAGGTGCACATTCTTTTCTCTGCAGCTTGTCTCCATCGTGATGTTATTCTTTTGCCTAGGATGTTCAGTTTGGCGTTAATCAAACATATCTTGCATTTATTTGGTTATAGGAATTTTAATTTCTTACAAGTACCCCACAAATGCAATCTTGCAGTGAGCGGGCCCACTTTTCCACATAAATGACCTGTAACTTGGGTGCTTGTCTCCATAGAGATCGTTAAATTAAAAGCTAGCAGGTGGTGTATCCTCTGCCAGAAAAGTTACACAATGCTCCTTTATGCACTTTCAGATCTTAATTATTTTGCTTTTGACAGTAATGATTCACACACCAACATTTTGTCAAGGCATTTTAAAATGAGAAAGTATGCAAAATTCTGTTAGTCTCCCCTTAAATATTGCAATAAATATGGTACTAATATCTAAATAATATCATACCATGAAATTTGGAAAGTGTCACATTCCTAGTGGCATGGCTTTCACTTTAATCTTAGGCCCAACATTACAGGAAAATGCACAGAAGGAAACTGAATGAAATCATCAGGCAGGAGAAGTTGTGAGTCAGACCCATAGTTTGTAATAGCCATTCTGGTTCCAGCTGCAGCACATAAAACATACACACACCACTGCGCTTAACCACTCAGAGATGTTTTTGCATAGACATCAATTCAAGTCAAACTCATGCAAATGGATGAAGGACACACAGACAAATAAACACAAAAGGTGACTACACGTGATGGAGAGACACATGTTCAGAAGCATTGTATCCACAGTTCAATTCAGTTAACAAGGTTATCCGACTTTATAAAAATAAGTGAGCTTGTTAATATACCACATTATTTTTGAAAACAGAACAATACCAGATAAATCTAAGCATTAACACCCCATTCATGTTATGTATTGAGCATTTGTTGAAAAGATATCCGTGTAGCTACTCAATTGGCCCTGTTTTTGTATTGCTTAGGTTCACAATGTCCGTGAAAGGCAGTCAGTGCACAACCAAGGCCTATGCGTTGGGTGGTGTTTGTGTAAATCCCCTTTTAACTGTGGGCCAGTATAGTTCAAGTTCATATCATATGTGTATATACATGTGAATGTGTTAGTGAGGCCAAGCAAACATGCAGCATTAGTCCCTGGCACAACACAGAATGTCAGTTTTGTTAAAAATAACACAACTTCACTTGTTCCTTGCTACTACATGTGTCTGATCCAGAGAGCTACAACAAGGAACACCATCTGAAACTGATACAACACTGAAGCCTGTGGATTGCAGCCATTGTAGATTTCTACTGGACTCTTCCAATCTCTTCTTCCATATTTTAATAACTAAAGAAATGTTTTGTTCTTACATTTGCTGTTATCATTCAAATGTGATTTTCCTTCATTCTAGCTCTGTGGAAACACACATATGTCACAGCACGTCCTCGCTTAATAAAGAAAACGATTCAGGATAAGTTAGCTTACGCTAACATAATAGGAGCTACAGTGTATTTTCCATAAAACAAACATTATTTTGAAAACACGTGTCAATGTAATACTTAATAAGTTAAAAAATAACTTAAAAATACAATTCAAATAATCTGTGAACATAACACAAAAAGAGTGACAAAAGAGCAAAAACATATTTAAAATTTGTTGTAAACTTTATAAAACACATACCCTAAAACAGAAAATCCTAAAACAGCACAAGTGTGTAGTCATGTACAAGTAGATCATGTCATACAAAGGCTGCGCTTCAGCTCAGTGTTAGTGACCAGCGATAGCAACTCTGAGGGAATATTAGTTAATAAATAAGAGAGTACAACAGTTAGAAGTAGGGAGTAGACAGAGAAAGCTCAAAGTCTCTATGGCTTTTATAGGCTTTGTGGCCCAAACAACCTTTAATATCAAAGCGAGGCTACATTTCACCAGTGCAGTCAGTCAACAGGGCAGAGCTTCACACTCGACAGGAATGACAAGAAAAGGCCATCTGGGATTGTTGGGAAACAGTGTAACCACTTTTATATGTATATACTGTATGTGAGTTTTTATCCTGGGAAACAAATCAAACAAAAATCAATTTTGTGTCCTGAGTTTGCCATTTCAGATTTACAGCAACTGCCACATAAAAATAGTAATTGAAAAATAAAGATGCATGCTTGAATATATAAACTGTATAATACTTTATCCTATGGCCATTATAATGTTAAATTACACGTATTTGTCCACCCTGAGTTCATTTAGGTGACAATGAGCAATGCTAAAATAATTCGATTAAAACAACCAATAGGAACTAGCATTAAATATACAAATTGAAGATTGTCATTTGCACTTAAATAGCTATAGTAGCTCAGTGCTAAAGGTCTGGCAGTGCAACAAAGTTTGGTCTGGTTTCAGCTATAAAGAATTATGAAAAACAGACTGAAATATGAACATATACTATAGCCTATTAATACATAGTCTAATACTACATGGATACATGGACTACATGGGACATCAATTTAAGCATAATTATTTTAAAATCAAGGTCTTACTTTTAATTAATTATAGTGTCCAACAATTAGAACCTACATCACATACAGTACATGCGCAAAGAAGGCTGTAAAATGTTGACAGTGCCTTGGGTCTATATTATCTTGAGCTATTGATTCTGTTATGCTAGGATAAATAGAGACTATAATTTCCAGTTTCCATAAATTTGATATGATTTGAACAATGCATGCAATACGTAGGGGGAAAAGGTAACTATTTCAGTGAATGGGTAGAACAGCTCTGCCCTGTCCACTGACTACATCATAATGTAAATCTCCATTGCACGTCTTTAGTAGGGTGCAAACTTTTGCCTCTCTGGTTTCTTCATGCCATTAGCCGAGGTTGAGATCTTGGCCGTGTAGGAGGCCAGAGCTGCCGCGGCGTGGGCCTGGACTGGAACTGCTGCTGCTGCCGCCGCAGTGGCCGCTGCCGGTACCGAGCCCGCCATCACCGGACCCCCGATGGCTGCTGCTGCTGCAGAGGCGGGAGGGGTGGAGAGTGCCAGGTAAGGGATGGATTTGACCCCGAGGAGGCTTGACAGGGGTAGGGCGTACGGACCACCCAGAATCGGAGCGTGGGGCAGTGTCGCTCCCATCGCTGCCAGGGGGGAGGGAGAGGACGAGGCGGTGGGGGCGGGCTGGGTGAAGCTCATGGTCAGGTCAACGGGAGACGGCATGGAGGAGGACTGGGCCGTGGATTTGGCCGTCTCTAAACTGGGGATAGGTGGAGGAAGGGAGGATAGGAAGAGGAGGGGAGAGGGGGAAAGGCAGGGGTCAAAGGGAGGAGGATGGAGAAGGGTTAGAAGGGGTTAAACCAAAGACATGTTAAACCAAAAGAATCCAAACTCAAAGGAATATTTTGGAGAGTTGAAAACCAAAACAAAAATGAAGTCAAATCATAAGACGGGTGTGTATACTGCTGGAGGTTGCAACAGATTATTGTAAGGGAGTTCGCTGTACGGATGGGGGGGTGTGCTGTATAAGTCGGGGTGATGGCTCGGGAGGGGGCTTTGGGAGAAGGGAACAAAACCATCACAGTTTATTAGGGCGGATGTTTGATAAGAAATGCTCTTGATGAAATTACTCAAAAATCGACCAGGAGATTGTTAGCCAAATGCAATCTCAATCCTAGTCTAATTACTGATAATGTCATTTGTGGTTTGGGTCAGCAATAGCCACTGCAAAAGAAACTGCAGATTTTGGCACACCCTTAGACAGTCTAAAACATTGTGGGCCAATTTATGCTGTACTTTACCATTCAAATTTCCAGTTCCTCTGTGTGAAAAATAATTTTGGTGATTCTAAAATTATGAATACCACTTAACCTACAATTCTCCTTGTGTTTTACTCTGTATAGGGTCACCAGGAATGCAGATTTTTATGGTATCCTTAAATCGTATCCTAGTTATTGCTTCTGAATCTCTTTTCTGTAAGAAAAATAGTGAGTGTTTACATCAAACTTTATACAAAATATTTATACAAACTATAGATAACTTTCAAACAATTTATTTCAAATGAATGAATTTGAGGGGTTCTATTTTATCCAAATTGATTCATGGATAATATGTAAATGAATTATGGATGGAGCAGAGTGTGATGCGGTAATGTAAATGTAAATGACTGTAGATCTGTGTAGCCTTCACAGTGAGAACCTGTGGAGAAGCCTTAGATTCTGTGACATGACAGGCATTCATAATCTTAACAATCTATTTGATGTGCATGTATTTGCACACTGTGGGCCTTCATATTCCCAGTGAAGTATCATGTTCCAAAGTGAGAGGAATATGAGGACGTTCTTGTCATAGAAGATGATTTAGAGAATTTATGTATAATTCAGATATAAGCCGAGTCATTAATTACTTTTTCCTTGCCCAAAATGCCAGTAAAGCATGTCTTTGCAACAACTTAAGAGTGTTAAAAATGACATCTTGAATCCCACAGTTCCATAAACACAGACAGTAGATAGGGACTGTGTCTGAACCTCCTGATAAATTAACACACCAAAGTATAAAAACTGTTATACAACAACATCAGCAGGTGTACCTATTTCCATCAGAAAAATATTGTTGGAACATTTTGGCCCAGACAGATACAGAATAGCAAAAATAATTGGCTTGTTTATTTTTGAATATTATATCAAGATGAGAACATGAGAAGACTGCTATCAAACATTTTAAATCAGTGTTGTTCAAAACCATGGAGCAATCTGCCAAACCACCTTTATAGTGAGTGAAGCTGGGAAGTAAAGTCTCATTATACAAGTAAATACAAGATGCAGTCTATTCGAAAGAGAAAATGTGAATATTTAAATTGCATCTCAAACTATTATTGTCGATCATTTTAAATGTCATATATTACACAAAATAGATTTTTGTGAGCTTTAAGCCATGTTATAATGCTGTGACATCTATAAAAACATACCCGGAGTTGTGTTTTGTTTCATTCATACATGTTTGAGTAACTCTTTATTATTAGTCTCTCTACATCTCCAAAGTGCAAAATGCTCTGTTCCACTTTGTGATGTCATGTAGTGGTAGTTTTCAGTTTAACAGCTACCCTTTACCTTTTGTTCAGTCAAGGCTAAAATTATCCAAATGATTCTACTGAAGATGTATGGAGTTTAAAAACACAGTGGAGCACTTCTGGTATGACTACATGACATCAGATGATAGAACAGGGTGTTTTCTGTTTGAGAGAAGAGCACAGCCTAAATATGCAGGGTTTGTGTGTTTGTTGAAGCAACAACATTATAACATAGATCAGAAAACAGAGTAATATGGGCCCTTTAACTATTTGTGATTCAACCTGCAATCATGATAAATACCATATATTTCTTAAGCCTAAAGATGCAACAACATTAGGCACTAGAGGAGACTGCACTGTGTGATTCCAGCACAAAGCCAGTTTGTCATGGATACTTGTGCGTCAGCTAGAAACGTTCCTGACCTGGCATTTCGGACTGAATGAGGCTAACCCTTCAGAGTGACTCTTAATGTGTGTGTGTGATAGCTGCCTGCCTTTATGTAGCTTGTGTCACTATGAGGATGTGGCATATCAGACCTCTTCTTCCGTTTGACTAATACATCCGAGGGTAATGAAATATCAATTCCATCCATAGTATAATCTGAAATTTGCATATTCATGTTTTTGGCAATTTGTACAGCTCCCTGAAGAACCCGATGTCTCCCATATAGCTCATACTCACTATCTGATTGAATGAACTGCTCCCCGGGTCAGACTCATAGCTCCATTGGTTTTGAGTATTTAATGATTTACAAAGGACGAGACCCCACAATGAACTTAGATACTGAAGAGTGCATTAAAAAAGGCATTTGTGTTATAACATTACTTTTGATGAACAATATGAACAAAAATACAATGTGTAACTCACAAGTGTAATAGAAATCCATTGTCAGTTTGTGATTAAAATTAAAATGGTGTGTATTATACCTCATCAATTTTTGATGTGTCAATGTTCCACTTTAGTACAGTCCTTGACAAAAGTCTTGTCGCGTATCCATTTTGTAGAAACAAAAGCTTATAACCTCCCTTTAAATTAATCAATTGGTTTTAGAAATGTCTCATATGAAAGCTAAAACCCTCCCAAATTATGCTCAATATACTAAAATAAATTTTCTTCACTGAAGAAAGATTGATCATTTAATGAACACAGAAAGGTCAGATTTTGGCAAGACAAAAGTCTTGTCGTCTTGTCATATGATGCACCCAATCCTAGATTACAGCCTCACCTGTGATCAGTTACTGATCAGTCAGTTAGTGGGTGTGTATAAAAAGAACCCCAGCACACCAGACCTTCACATCAACTGCAACTTGACCTCTGACAACATGCCTAAGATCCACCCTGAGACCAAAGCCTTAATTATCAAGAGGCTGAAGACCAGATCCACTGCTGAGGTGGTGACACCTTCAATGTGTCTCAGCGTCAAGTACAAAGAATAAGAAAAAGATCTGAAATGACTGGAGATGTTTTTGACAAGCCCAGGTCCGGCAGACCCCGCAAGACAACTGCTCGGGAGGACCGTTTGTTGATTTGAAAATCCAAGGCCCCTTTTCCACTGCAGCAGAGCTCCACCAGGCCTGGTCACCTCAAGACCCTGTGTCAACCACAACAGTTTGTAGAATTCTGTCTGGAAATGGCCTCCATGGTCGAATCAGTGCACAGAAACCAGCACTAAACAAAAGGCAATTAAAAAAACGTGTGGCATTTGCCAAGGCCCACAGCCTGCTAAAAGGATGGACACTGGAAAAGTGGTAGAAGGTGGATTCAGCCGCCACAAATATTGCAGGAGACCTACTGGAGCCCTCATGGATCCAAGATTCACCCAGAAAACAGTTAAATTTGGTGGCGGAAAAATCATGGTCTGAGGTTCCATCCAGTATGGGGGTGTGTGAGATATTTGCAGGGTGGATTATTGATATAATAGCCTAAAATATCAAGAAGTATCAGCTACCTCTTACATTCCCAACCATAAAAAGGGTCAAATTTTGCAGCAGGATGGTGCTCCATCGCATACTTCTATCTCTACATCAAAGTTTGTCAAGGCGAAGAAGATCAAGGTGCTCCAGGACTGGCCAGTCCAGTCACCAGACATGAACATCATTGAGCAGGTCTGGGGTAGAATGAAAGAGGAAACATGGAAGGCAAAACCAAAGAATCCTGATGAACTCTGGGAGGCATGTAAGACGCTTTCTTTGCTCTTCCTGATGAACAACAACCTTCATCAACAAATTGTATGAATCATTGTGGAACCGCATGGATGCGTCCTTCAAGCTCATGGATGTCATACAAGATATTAAATATGGATCTCACAGCACCACTACTTAATTCACTGACATTATGCAACATATTTTTGTATTTGAAGTAAATTATTTGCTCACTTTTCTGTAGGCGACAAGACTTTTGTCTTGCCAAAATCTGACCTTTCTGTGTTCATTAAATGATCAATCTTTCCTCAGTGAAGCAAATTTATTTTAGTATATTGAGCATACTTTGGGAGGGTTTTGGCTTTCATATGAGACATTTCTAAAACCAATCCATTAATTTAAAGTCAAGTTATAAGCTTTTGTTTCTACAAAATGGATGAGCGACAAGACTTTTGTCAGGGACTGTATTAACAAGCAAATTAAGAACTTACCAATTGAGGTTGGGTGCTAAAAACGAAAATTTTGCAAATTGTGTCATGTATTGTTGCGCACTCCGAGGTGTGAGACAAAAGCTGGATAAGAAAGTGGTCTGTAATTCATTTTTTTGTTAATTCTTCTCACTCTACATTTGGTAATAGCCTTGAACAAAAACATAGCTTGCCTCCTCTTTATATCCTCCTTTATATAATAGTTTTCTCAAATATATAAGAAAATCATAATGAAATAAAATGAAAACTATTGAAGAACGTTTTGGTAAAAAACATGTTCAAATATGTCTTTTATTTTATGGCTCATTAGGAAACCAAGATAACACTTTCCACAGAATGCAACAGAGAACAAGGAATCTGTTGAAAAAGCTTGAGCTGTGGGACTACATTATTTTGAAGTTATTATATAAAATGTTCAAACGTAGCCGGGACACTTACCAGGAGGTGATGAGGTACTGAGCCAGGTTGATGGCGATGGGCGTTCCAGTGATGGTGACGTGACGGTCACTCGTGCTGTCCATCTGACTGCCGATCTTGATCTGTGCGCCTGAAACCTGCCGGATCTCGTTTATCTTGGTACCCTGGCGACCAATGATGGAGCCAATCAACTGCAAGGAAGAGAACGGAAATGAGATTAGCAATGATTAGCAAAAGCAAAGTCATCTAGCATCTTTTTTACAATTTAGCCTAATAGCTTTCTCTGCACAGCAACACTATGGCATAAAAGAGTCAGGCTTTGCTGACCTTCAAACATCTGTGTCAAGTGTTGAATGGATGTAACTAGTTCCATACAAAAGACAGAACATATTATGTGGTGTAGAATCAACTAATGAACAGCCAATTAACCTTCATTACATGAGCAATTAGTTTGAGATGTATCACTGCCCACTACATAAAGGATTAATTCAATTTACTGGGCGCTTACTGCTTTGTTTATTTTAAGACTTGCACTGTGCTTTTTATTTTATTTGTATCCTTAGATTGGCATATTTGATGAAAGCACTGCTTAATTAATTGATTGTAAGTATCTCCAGTCTGGGATCACTCTTGCTGAAAGTGATCAGGAAAAGATGGAACACAAGCACAGATATCTTACCCATCCACAAATGCACAAAGCGTCTCTCCCTCTGCATGTTTTCAAAAACATTTGTATTTCTGCTAAAATAGGCCAAAGTAAGTTGTTGTTGATTTTGTTGAGGAGCTTCATCTTTGGCTTCTGCCCAAACCACAATGCTGCTCTGTGATTTGTCCTTTCTCTGGACCGCTGGTGGGTCAGGCCCAATCGTAACAGCATGAGCTTGATAAGATACATCTTAGTGAGTTTGTGAAGATATTATATCTCAAACATAGAACTTGCTGGTTATTTATTTGAATGTGTGTCTCTCTTGAAAATGTGGCAATAAGTCTCAAGTAGCTAACCTGTACAAATGAAGGATTAATTCATAAAGTGACATTATGAAAACATAATCTTTTTATGCCTTTAGATTCAAGTCACCCAAGACCTTTAACTAGAGTATTGCAAGAAGATATTTTAAATGAAATAATTACATTAGTAATATTAACTGTGAAGATTTTTCTTTAATCAAAGAAACAGTGTTGGTCCTTGTACAAAAGGTTTATTTTGCATTTCAGCCCTCGTATGAAAGACTTGTCGGCTCATGATGATGAAGACCCTGCCTGAGAAGACTGCAGCTAAGCATGGCTCTCTCCTCATCTCTGTTCGTTTTATCCGCTGGTGACCCACTTCTTTCTTTTACACAAAGTTTTCCTTTTTCCTTCATATGTCAAATTAGAGTTGGGAGATATTACAGAAAATCTGGCATAATGATTGGTTACAATTTTGGATTATGTCTTTTTTTAAACAAAGATGGCTTTTAATGAACATAGATAAGACAAACATTCCTTTCCCTACCAGTCATTTGGTCCCTGCGTTCAGAGCCGGGGTCGATTGGGTCTGGTCTAAAGTGGGCTATTCGTGGAAAGACTGCTGATAATTCAAGTGTGTGTGCCCGCTGTAGAGCCCTAATGGCACTGCAGCAGACAGAAGACAAAGTGGTCCCAGACAACTACCAGGTCAGAACTATTTGAGTGAGATCCACCTTTAGCCGCTGTCTGACCCTGCAAATGACCGCTCTGGACCAAAAATCGCCTCGTGTGGACCATAAGCTGCAGCCCTGGCACAGACTCACACTCAGCTGTGTGCAATGCAACCCCAATCCAAATGCTTCACTCTGTTCACTCACCGGTGACACTGCCCTGAAAATGACTACTGTCTGGTTTTCAGATTTATGGGGGATAGAAGTAGGATGTTGGTAGGTCATGATAACTACTATGCAATAAATAGAACAATACTTTTCTACTGTTTCTTTCTTTTTCTTTGCATGGGTTGGATAAACAATTTCTAGGACAGTGTTATTTTTAGCAATATTTTTTGTAGTAATACACTACTCTTCAAAATTTCTTCCAGTTCAAAGAAAAATTCTTTACACTTACATTTCCAAGTTTGTATATTTCATGCTGATCTTTTGCATCATCTTACTCCCAAAGCTTCAATGAAGAAGCTGTTTTTTACAGACTGAAAACCCCTCTGAGGAGACAATACGGTCTAAATGAAAGTGGCTTGATAGTATTGAAACCATTTGGCAGCACTTGACTACCTTTTAGCCTTAAGAAAAATAGATGACTATGGCTCGCAATGGCAGGACACGCTCACAAGGTTGATTGCTTTTAGGATATGAGGTTTTTGCAGCCGTGGTTCCCTCAAAGTGGTTTTTACGACAGGAGGACGGGGATGGGCCAAGGTACTATTTTTGGGTGAATCCCCATTGTCCTTGTAATTTGGACAGGTTTTAGTGAAAAGGATAGACCGAATATGTCTGGGCTGATGCTAAGTCTCTTACTGCGAGCTATAGGATGTCATTAAGCTGCTCTGCTTGTCCCTGCTCAGTGACTCACAAACACACAAGGGGTCTTAAGCCCTATCTGCCTCAAGCAAACGTGGACTGTATATCCTTGTGTGTGGGGCAGGATTGTGGGCATAGCTTGGAGAATGAAAGCAAAAATCACAATAAACACTGATTAAAATGGCTGGGACTGATGCCAGGAGATCAGAGGCTGCAGAGGTGTTGATTGTTCTGTCAAAGTGCAACAAGCCCTCTGTAGGCTCCCCAGTGCGGTAATATTTGCTGCTAAATGAAGTTAAGAGCATGAAAGGGTACACAGCTTGCACACAAACACACACACACAACTTAAACTCAATATTTTGCCAATGCCAGACTCTCTGCTTTGATTATGCAATACAGCCAATATGTTGTCATAGTGCCCACTTGTTTTGTAGAGGGCATCTTCTGTCACTTCAACTAGTAATTGGAAAGATGCCATGTTTATTTCAAAGGCAAGCTGTTTTGTACTGTATGAGTGATTGAAAGGCTAGGAAATGTCAGAGTTGATCTATGCCTTTGGGATGGGAAAACATCAAAAGGGGAAGCCCAAAAAAACCCCAGAGTTCTTAAACTTAAGACTTAAACTAAATGAAGATGCAGCATAGTAAATAGCAGCTTGGGTGACTTATGTGGAATCCATAACAAACCAGTTTACAAGAATAGATGATACTGATACAGCACCATTTAGTATGTTTACCAGCAAAGCAAAATAAAGTCCTGCGTCTACTCCCTAACTGACAAACCTACACACAGCCACTGATGGATGAGGAGAGATTAAAAGTCTAGACTGAGATTACTGAAGCAGAAAAAGGGTGATAGCCAATTTATGTTTTAAATGGGTAAACACTTGGCCTGTATACATGTATCTACCTTAAAGTGTCTCTATGATATATGCCTCTACTTGTGGATTAGATGATTTCAGAACAATATCTAACAACTCAAAAGTAAGGACCTCCACATATGTTCTTTGAGAAGATGAGACAAGCACTTTGCATCGAGTCATCATATATTAAAATGAAATGTAGAAAAAGAAGAAGAATGAAGATGTAGAATTGGACATATCCAAGGTTTGGAGACAATCAAACACTACATTGTACACAAAAGCTGAATGTATGATTTTATAATTGATCTCCTGCTTCATGGCTTACACATTTACTATACATTCAAATCCTCAGTTTAGGGCAGAGGCAATTAAAAAAGCAAAAAAAAACAAAAACCCAAAACAAAAAAAACGAATCGCAGTAAATCCAAGTATTAGGTTGAGACTAGACAAAATGTGATGCCAGTTATTCCTGCGCCCCTTCCTTACAATTAGAGTATCATAATGCTAAGGTGTGCGTTTGCTGTGGAAAATGTATTATTATTAATTTTTTTCTTGAGTGCAGTCTGTTACAAGAATGAATCACTGATGCCAACAGATGCCAACATGAATATTTTGGCTCAAATTAGCTCTCTGCAGACCAAATGAGACATAGCATGACCGCCAGGATTTTCTCATTAATTCCACCGACAATTTAGCCTTTATGGTTATAATTTCAACTGTGAGATCAGAACTTGTTATATTGTGATGCATTACGGGTAAACAGAAACACAGGTACAAGTGAGCAGTACATAGTAGAAGTATTCAGCAGGTTCACTGGTGTCAGACTGAATAAAAGCGTTTGATGGATGGAGGAGACAGACTGAGTGGAACAGACAGTGCAGTGGAGTGGTTAGCCTTCGTCTCTGCACTAAAGGTCAGTGCTTGGTTCTCACTGCAGTCAACGTGTCCATCACATCATGTCCTACTTCTTCAACACAACAGTCAAGCGTTAGCCCAAGGAATGCCCAAAGAGAAACACAGACTATGGTTCACTTCACTACGAAGGACTCTCTATGAAATCTGGCTTTTGGGTTTTACATTTGCATAAGGAGTCTATTTTCAATTACCATGAAAGGAACTTGAGAAAATATTTAAAGGATTCCAATAGACAGATGCAAAAAGATATCTCTTAGATTTAGATATCTCAAAATGTTACTCTTATCTGATGGAAAAAAAACAGCGATGGGGCAATATAGGAACGAGCTGAGTTATGTACAGAAATGTGATGTGACAAAAATCTTTTATGAATTTATATTTTATCTGTAGTAACATGCTAATCCTGGAATGTCCCATTGTAACATGAAATTTGAGTTCCAAATATCCAATGATAATGATCTTTACCCCAAATGTACCCAGAACAGAAACAGCTGTTCGGCAACAGGCAGCCAGCGAAGGCAGTCCTGACCAGCTTAGCCTCCTGACAGATGGGTCAAATGCAGTGAACAAATTTCCCAAAGGAAACAAAGTGTACCTTTTCCTTATTCTTGGCTGTCAGACAGGACAGCTGATATAAACTTGCTCACTAATAGCATCTGTGCAAATAAAATCTTCTTAAAAGCAAATTGTCCCCACAGGTTAGTGAATGTTCCATCACATTTTGAACATTCACATTGAGGGCAAAAGTTTTTGTGAGACATTGTAAAGGCAGGAACCAAAAAGAAGGAAACCCACAAGTCTAGATGTGTGTACTGGTGCGTAAATGTGCTGTTAGTTTTCCTGCCAGTTCAGCTTCATTATGTAGTGAACACAGCAGTAAAAAGCCTACATCTGCTGCTACCCACCAGTAACTACAATGTGTTTCTACTCACATCGTTTGGAATGAGGAGCTCCTGAGATGTGGTCTGAGAACTGGCTTCCACTCCTCCTGAACACACACAGGAACAAAGATACAACTTGTGTAAATATATTCAAATACATAATGGACAGAATTGAATGACACCATAAATTTCTGTTAATACCAAACTTCACTCAAGGCAGACAACTTTTTCAGAATTTGTTATACAATATTGATACATTTGGTGACATTTAATGCGATTCGGTACTGGAATACCAACATCTCCTGAACTGTTTATAGCCAGTCCAATCCAACTTTATCTGTAAAGCACATTTTACCAACACAAACTCTCCAGAGTGCTGCACAGAGTAGGCACAATATAAATTAAAACATTAAAGAAAATAAAGCATAAAAATAAATAAGCAAGTCAATATAAAACAAAACAAAAGAAAAAAAGAAAAAAGAGTTGAACAATTTTAGCTTAAAATAAAACACAGAGCACTAAAGCATGACAAGATAAATAAATGCAGAAAATATATGAATATCACATACAGTAGTTCTGAAACTAGGTAGTGCTTTTTTGTTCATTAAAATAACTTTTTGTATTTGTTTCTCAGCAGGTGGTCGTGCTGTCCCCTAAGTGAAAGTGTCTGCTGCAGCTGCTAACCTAAGTGTGTGTTATTGAAAAGAGTGCTCTGAAGGCTCTGCTGTGCACGACTGATGAGTTTTATACCTGGGACATAATGGAATAATCAGCCATCCATATCCCGGTGATAATTCGCTCCTCTCCCTCTCTCCACTGTGAATGCACAGCTAACATTTGTTTGAAAAATTGGATGACAAAGCCCACATGTTTAACAGTAGGGGAAGTCATTTGAAACTACTTGCGTTTTCAAAATGCATTTAAAAGAAGCACCTCTCATTCATGTATTTACAAAAAAGGCTGGTTGAAGATGTGCTATTCATTTTCACTGACTACCTGAAGAACTTAGCATGACATCAGGCCTGGTGCTTTTAGACTTAAGCATGTTAGGTGAGTAGACTACAGAGTGGCATATGACCTTTTACAACACAAAGGAATATGTGGAATCTGTACCTTGACACTGAAAAAGGAACCGATTGGTGCCTAATTAGTTTCTGTTTTAACTTTTATTAAAATATTCCATTTAATATAAAGTGATTTTATATATTTTGATATGGTGTTATGTCAGGTCCTGAAGCACACACTTGAAATGAGCATGTATAGAGAGCAATAGCCTTGAAACAGAAACAGCCGTTGGACAGTAAATCAAACACAAATGGGTCCTTGAACACAACACTGTGCTGTCACACTCATAGCTCCTGTGTGTGTTTTACCCTGACCTCTGCACTTCCTCACAAGCAGCAGAAACACGAGAAGAGCTGCCTTCACATCCATTATGTGACACAGGCGCAGCCAGCCACATACACCACTGTCCACTGTGCATCAAGTTAAATGCATTAGTAAGACTACAGTGTAATAATTCATTAGTTTTAGCGCCTTTCCAAATGCTCAAAATAACTGTAAATGCCAAACATATAACATTTAATACTTAATGTTCAAAAAAAAAAGGAGGCAAAAAAAGGAAAGCAATACTGTAGTACTTAGTATTCTTCTCATTTTTTCACAAGCCTTGTTGTCTTTCATATCATGCAGTTTATAGAGATATTGGCATGTATTTCAATCCCTTTGCTTGTGAATGATATCCTCTATTATAATATTGCTTTTACTTATCCCCTTTTTACACACAACAATTTCACCTTTTAGTTCAAACTCTTATTGAGAACAGTATGTGGTTGAGCCGATGTAGCCAAAATCTCCACAGGCACTTTTCTGCTCTGTGGTCGGGATGTTGGCACAGCTGGATGCAGTTCATATCACACAGGAACAGGGCCATAACTATAATTATGCAACATTGATGAATAAAAAGCTTGCAGCAAAATTAAAGTTCTTAACAAAAGTGCAGATGTGCAGTAAGTTCCAGTGGCCAAACGGGAAAGATAAAGGAGAGACATTCACGGCACGTTGGATTTATACATTTATTCAACAGTAGGCTTGCAGTGTTTTTGGTGTTGCAGATGATGAAACTACAGGCAATGGCTGTCGATTTACAAATATCTAAAATAATGTGACAGTTTACTGAAAACATGTAGTGCCACATGTGTAAATTATAATAATAAAAAAAGCTAGACCAGACTAGCAGACACACTGTTGGTAAGAACAATTGTTATAGTTCAATGTTTGCAACATAAGCAATGTTGAACAACCCAAAATCTGTAAGTATAATCAACACAATGAATCTCTCTAAGAACCATTTCTGTTTGAGTTTAGCGTAATTGCTTTTCAAACTGGAATGCAATGAAGTGGTCAGACGGCAAGGCAAAGTACGGTATGGGCAGACGTGCCTGGGGTATAAAGCCTCACATAGGGCCCCGTGTGAAGCTTCACACCCCAGGGTTTAATTCAGGGCCCTTAGACCCATGACAACAGACCCGTTTGCCCCCTCCCTGTTGACTCCCTTGGATATGGTTAGATACTTGTTTCTCTAAAGTCTTCATAGTGGGTTTGAGCCTCATGAACCTCATCACTTCCTACTCTACACCACATCCTATTTTTAACCATTCAGGACTCATCCTCCTAGTGGAGCTGTTAAGGACCAAAATAGTTCGCTTTTATGGTACAAGCATGAAACTTTGCCAAATTAGTAACACCCCCACGACTAATATTTCTGGATATGGAACCAAGGCTAATTCAACACTGGAGCTAAGAACATGTCACAAAATGGACTATATGAAAACAAGGCTGGCATAAAAAATACTGCATAATCCCTTTCTTATAGTCTAATTTGCTTAGTTATCCATTTTGTAATGTTGAACAACTATTTTTTCTAAACTCCAAAGCTTTAAGGAGGTCACGTGACCATTTTCCTTGAGAATGTAAGGGTTATGTGGGTTCCCTGTGGTTGTTAATAAAATATTTTAATCTTTCAAATAGTGAAGGGCAAATGGAGCCTCGTGAAGCATTGACACCTGTGTCGCAATATTGTCTCAAATGGTTCAACTGAGGCCTCGGAGAAACACTGACCTCTAGTGGACAAATCTAAACATTGGCATGCAGGTGTCTCAGCGTCGATGAAGTATTGTTAGTGTAAGACAAAACTTGTGTGCAGAGCAAACACCATACCTAACAACAACAATAATAATGATGATTTAAAATAATATGTAAAGAGCAACATAAATAGCTGCTGTAAATAAGAAAATAGGTGTTACCTTGTTAGGTGGAATTAGACCAAAGTGATCCCAAACCATGGTTCGCTTTTTTCCACTTGTAGATGCCATCGAAAATGAAACAAATGCCAAAAGTTGCCAAAAGTCACCAAAATCACCACTAACGTCACACAATACTCCTCACTACCCAACATGTTTAAGAAATATTGGTGCATCTTTTATACTGTAGCAGTTTAGCGCTTGTCAAACCACAGAAGTGCGCTGAACACTCTGAAGCACTCTGAACCAATCACAGAGTGGAACCTTCGCTGAGCCAATGAAACGCTTCGATACACTGAAGAGACTGACACGCAGAGTGAAGCAGTAGGGGGAGGGGCCGACACTTCCACACTTTGGTCACATGAGCGGCTGCTGCGAGACGAGCTCCGAGGCAGTGCTTCAGAGCAATTTGTTTCAGAAAGAACGAGACGTGCTCCGGAGCTCCGTCTCATTTGCCCATCACTACTTTCAAAGACATTTATTGGGTTTTTGATAACAAAAAGCATTTAACCATCTCTGAAGATCTGTAAGTGCCATATCATATTTCATAATGATAATTAAATGTTGTATGGAAGTGAGGCTTAACCCCAAACAATGGCAAGAACTGCCATTGAACTGCCAGTGATCAGATACCAAGCGGGAATCATGTACTGGCCAAAGGAGGAGATACAGACCACAGATGTTAAGACACGAAAGCTCCTGACCATGCATGAAGGGTTCATCCCAAATCCAGCACCCTGAGACTGTACGCAGGCCGGAAGGAAGGAGGCCGAGGACTAGTGAGTGTGGGAACCACTGTCTAGGATGAAACATCCAAGCTCCATGAGTACATCAAGGACAAAGCCCCGATGGATGAGGTGCTCAGAGAATGTCTCAGACAGTGGGGTCCAGAGGAAGAGGTGCTGGAGGGACCATCATGGCAGGACAAACCCCTACATGGGGCGTACCACCGGAACATAACTGAAGTGACTGATATCAAGAAATCCTTCCAATGGCTTGAGGGGGCTGGTCTGAAGGACACACAGGCACTCATCCTGGCTGCTCAGGAGCAGGACCTGAGCACTCGAGCAATAGAGGCCCAGATCGACCACACCAGACAAGACCCACGGTGTAGACTGTGCAGAGAGGCTCCTGAGACAGTCCAGCACATAACTGCAGGTGTAAGATGCTGCAGGGAAACAAACATGGAGCGACATAACCAAGTGGCGGGCAGAGTGTACAGAAACATCTGTGCAGAGTTCAGAAAAGTGCAGGACAGGAACAGCAAAGATACTGAAGAACTCTCAAGTTTATATATATATTATAATAATACAAGTACATGCATAAAACAAGTGCATTATGTATGTTTTCAGATGGAGGGTCCTTCAAATGCTTTTTCCATGGAGATGCTAATGCTGTGAAAACTCTTCATGTAATTTCTAGGTAGCCCATTTAATGACCTTGTGGTATTAAAAGTACTTCAAACTACAATTTTCATAATTTTAATTACTTTAATTACTTCATTGCCATCACTGAAGCTTTTTATGTGTAGTGTCCAAATGTAGTACTTGTTACAATGCCTTCTTTTAAATACTTATTTCTAAATACCATAACAATACCATATGATTTGAAAGAAAGAAAGAAAGAAATACTATTATAAATAATACTATATATAATATATATATATATATATATATATATATATATATATATATATATATATATATATATATATATATATATATATATCTTTATAAGATTCAGTTAAACTAATATAATTTTTATACATATTTTTCTTGAAAAAACTTACTTAAATTAGGGACCACTGTCCAATCACTGAAGCTCATTGTCTGCATTTTCCAGATATAGTACAATCTTAAATGTCTTCTTTTAAATCTCTCTCTTTATTTCTGTCTGTTCACAGTATTTATCCTTTGGTGACATATTGTCTGTAGCCTTCTCACTGTGCTATGAAAAAAACAATATAAGATTATACTATCTTATTTTCCTGTACCACACACATAATTCTAAATGAGACATAAGACAGGATACTTTTACATTATACCTAATTATTGACTTTCTCTCATAGTTTGAGTTATCACATGAGATTCAATTAAACTTTTTTTTTTTTCTGCACATTTTTGGTTGAAAATTTACTTTAAAAAGATACATTCATTCATTAAACGGGTTCATTAAACGGAGATGCCATTGCTTTATATGGAATGCTTCACAGTGTTAAACCTTTCTATCATGAAAACCAAACTAAACCAAGTTACAGGTCAGATCTGTGGAGAGGTCACCCCGCTCACAGTCAGAATGTTTGTTTTTCTAGGTGTTTTTGAGCTGTAAAACCACCTGTAATTGAATACATGTAAAGTAGAGTTTAATGCCATACTGTGGAACATAATGACATATTCATAGAAACAAGCAGGTGGCAGACCCCCGACCAAAGAGTTACATAGTGCACCTTTATGTTTTATGCAGCATTGTCCAGTTGTAGTTCAATCTTAAATGTTTTCTTTTAATCTCTCTGTTTCTGTCTCTCCACATTATCTCTCTATTATTCACCACACAGACTGGAGCCTTTTAACAGTGGGATAAATAACCAATATAAGATTCCTGCTTATTTCCCAGTACTACACATGAGTCTGGTGTTACTCATATTTGCATAAGTGGAAGTATTAGTGATAATATGTGATCATTTAACATTATTTTCCAAAAAAACGCGGTTTAGGCAACAATTTCTCTACCAGCCTCGTTTCCATGTCAGCCATTTTGTGACATGTGCGGTACTCGGCTCCAGGGTCGACTTGGGCTTGGTTCCATATCCAGAAATGTTGGTCCTAGGGATGTTAATAATCTGGCAAAGTGAACAATTGGGCACTTTTTTTTTTGTCCTTAACAGCTCAACTATCCATATCGTTCAGTTAATAATGAAATCAGTCAACATGTATTCATATAATATTTATTTAATAACTGTGTTTAATTTTGTATCAATGCATGGTGTCAGGTTTGCAGACAGATGTTGTGGTGAGATGCGTAAGGCTTGTCTGAAATAGCGTTTATTTCTAACAAGGTGTGGTTGGAGAGTCATGTCTCTATACCTGACAAAACCTGTGTAGCTGCTTGACTTATGTGGCCCAGACCCTGCTGCTGCATGGACAACTGGTGTAGCTTCGCCAACTGAAACACACATACAAATCTACTATAAGAAAAAAGAATACACTATATTCAAGAATTACTCTTTTGCATGAAGATAAATTCTTACCTCTGTGTGTGGAATGCCGTAGTGACTCTGTAATGCGTATGTCTGAAAGAGAGAAAATGGAAGAAAGGTTAATATGGGTTTATGTGACAGTGAGTGACATTTATATAGGCACCTTGTGGTTGAGAATATTGTCTCTAGATTTTAATATAGATACAGTAGAACAGGGAGTTCATTTTGTGACAGCTGATCTGGTCCAAAGATGGAAAAAATAGACTCTATGTTAAAAGGTTCTGTGCAGAATAAGTACAAAGCAAATCAGTAAATATGGCATGAAAAATGAGGAAGTGCAATCAAACTGTACCTGTAGTAATGCTCACCAAAAACAAGGCAAGTATCATATTCAAATGCATTTGCAGTACCTTTTAGGTCATGCATCAGACTCCACGGGAGATCATGTCATTGTATGGTATTAACAATTTTTTTCCACATTGCTTGGTAGTAGGCCAGTATGGTTATAATAATACTGCATAATGTCACAGTGACACAAAGAGGATGGGAGTTGGTAAAACTGTTCTATACTATGATCTCTGAAGCCACTCTCCTGTGACTCTTCAGCGGGTTAAGCCTCAGTGTTTATCTCTCTGAGATCATCACATAAAAGAGTCAGAACCCTTTCTTTAAATCTATAACTACACTTCAAAGAGTCAGTATACTTCAGTGAGCGATGTGTTGAGATGAACGGGGGCATGGTCATAGTGCACGTGCAAATGCATGTGCGTGCGTGTGGGTGTGTGTGTGCAAGTGTGAGTGTGGGGAGAAGATAGAGCCCACAATGGTGTGCCCCAGGTGATGTGCAACTTATATAACACATTTTAGAGCATCTCTTTTCCACACTGCCACCACAGCAGAGAACTGTTGACTCATGATACCAAACCAGCACTGCACAGAAGAGTGCCAAATAAAATGTATCTACATATCTAATGTGACTTCAGTCACAGTTATCCCTATGACATATATAGATATAGATAGATAGATATAAATATATAGATATAGATATAGAGATAGAGATAGATAGAGAGGTGAAGTTAAACTCATCTTTGACCAATTCTCCTTGAAGGTGTAGGGTCAAATGGGGTGTAGGGTTAAATGTAACATAATTTATGAGCCTGTATTTTTATTCTGAAATTCCTTGTATCTCTCAGTTGGAGTTACTTAACATTGACAGTGAATGGGCCTGTCATGATAATCATTTTTGAAGCACAATATTTCTGTATTTCTGGAGAAATGATAGACGATAAATGATAATATTGAAAGTAATTTAGGGCACTGACACAATCACCCAAGAGCAGATTTAATCCACAAAAAATAATCTAAATCTACAATATTGTAAAAAAAAAACATGAACTGCAATAAGTAAACAGTAAAATGAAACACTTTAGTGCTTAGTTTGAATCTGTAATGGGACATTGATGTTATTAATTCAACCTTTTATGGCTTAAATCCAACCAAATTCCAACTGTTGCAAAAAAAAAAAAAGTACACACAATAAATATTGACCCCAAAAATAAAAGTTCCATCTTTCCTAATTCATTCTAATAGTGAAGAATTATTTCTGTACAAAATTAAGTAGTATCATTGTTATACAGTTATTTGGTAGGTTTGAACTTGTGAGTCAATCTGTTTTATATTTGGGCTCACAAAATGAAATATTTTCAAGACATCTCCTCGTAAATTGACTTTCTTTCAGCCTATCACTCAAACATCCTTAATATCTAACACCATGACAACATCTCATCCAAACTAATTTCCTTGGAATAATATGCACAGATAGCCTCGCACTGGTAATCTTAATGTGCAGTTGAATTTTTAATCCGGGACATGTTTGTGTGTGACAGCTGCAGATGAGGATGTCAACAGAGACTACATACAGGCAATAAATCCTGGAGCCTGTTCCCATTACTGCTCCCCGCTCCACTCCTCTCCACATGACTGCAGTCTAAATAATGAATAAAAGCATTAATCGCACTGCACAGCCACTTAACTCCGCACTACCCCATGCTCGCTTTCACATAAACCATCTCTTGCCTTTTGCTATCAAAGATTACAGACATTTCTCCCAAATTTAGTCCCTACCAAATTTAAAAATCCAATAGTGATGTTTTTTTGGCAGTTCATTCCAGGAGTTGCTGTAGTTTACCATAAATCTGTCCTGCGTAGTTCTTAGTGTATCTCCTAATATTATGACAACTTCCTGTCTTTCACTGTGCACCCACAAACCTACTTCTGGTCTCACTCCTCCAAACAGGACCCAACCACCACAAAGAAGAAGTTGATGACATTTTCCCTAAATCATCTGTCATTTTTATTACCAATTACGTGGAAAGGAGTGGAGAGCGTGTAGGTCATGTAGGGTTGTGCACATGGTCGTCCCCATTCCACTAACTGCCACCTTAATGTTAAGCTCGTGGCAATAATATTATTCATTCAATGTACAATACCAGTCACTCACTTTTTTCTCAATATGTTTACTGCTTCTGATTTTTTTTTTATACATCCAGAAGACATCAAATATATGAAGTGATATAGATATAGATATTTATAAATAATAATAAAAAAAATAGATATCTGCCAACCTTTCCTTTGTTGAAAGATATTTAACTTTTTTTCTTTACTAAATAATTTCCTGTATCTTACCATTAGAAAGTGGTAAGGAAAAAAAAAAAAAAAAAGACGGTGAGTCCAAACTTTTGACTGATAGTATACATAACATTCATTTAATCTCTGTTGGCCTCATTCCTGATTTTTAGCATCACAGCTGAATACATTTCAAAATAAACTATTTTTCACACTATCTCAAGAGGACTGTGTAAAACGGATGGAAGAAAATTCCTGCATGCTGTGTTTTGGCTGAGAGATATAAAAAGATCAAGTTGTGCTTTCGAAGCTGATCTCATTCAAGCAGAGCTGTGGTTCTGACCCTGTGAGAGTTAAATATGCACAGGCTCCTGCTCAAGAAAAAACACATGTTATAAAGCATCACAGCAGTGGCACACAAGATGGAACTGCAGCTCACACATAAGACTACAGAGCTGAGTGCATCTTTAGGAGTTTAGCAGTGTCGTCTTTATATCTTACAAGCAACTTATCAAATGTGATCAGTTTTCTTTTCTTTTTATGGAATACTGATTTGATATATGTATAATCTAACACTATATATAATCGAACACTATATGATGTTAGACAGTTGTGACAGTAAATTGATTGGTTTTAATGATCTGAGGTGAGATATAGACAAATGCATCATAATAATACTCATACAACATAGATTGCCTTTAAACATTTCTGATATATTTTGAAGGCTGAGAAATGTATCTTTAGGTTACACAATGAAATTATTTGAACTGTCAAACTTTCATTAAAACCACTAAATTTAAGCTGCTTGTATTTGTGTTTAATGCATCTTCTTTGTGAATTGTCTCGGAATGACAGCAATATGAACTACTAACCAGGTCTGAATATTTTGACAGCTAAATGACGACTGTTATCATACAATTCTGACCTGATTTTGGCTGCACCACTGATGGATTAGAAAGATGACGCAATGTCTCACGAACACGTCATATTACCCATGTGGATGTGACACTTAACATAATTGTAAGCATTCTAATAAAATATCCTCTCTATCACTATTTATCATTCGCTCAGCCTTCTCATGGCACCTCCATTAGTCGAGGTTACTGTTGTTTTTAGAGTGACACTGCCAAGGCCCCCTGCACATGCACACACAAACATGTGTCTAAAGCACTCAGCTAAAGTTGGCGCGGGAGCGATGGGGCTGTCAGGGTGATCGAGTTAAGTGCTTTTGTGCTCCTCTAGTTTGCACCTGACTGTTTTGTTTGCCTTTAACCTGTGCTGGCCTGTTTGTCCAAAGGTTTGGGGATCACGCGCTTCATGCAAGTACCATAGTGTGCTGCTGGTTGGCCTGGACTGTTGTGGTATAGCGTTAAATGTGTGGCCATACCGGCTTGTCAGAGCCTAAAAATCAGGTGCCACAGTGGAGCGCCAGTTGAAAAAAAACAAAACTGTTGTGTCTTTAGGCAAGGCACTTCACCCACATTGCCTAGTATGAAAGTGGAGTGTGTGTGAGTGATGGTGGTGGTTGGAGGGTCTGATGGTGCAGATTAGGAGCCGTGCTTCAGTTTGCCCCAGGGCAGCCGTGGCTACAACTGTAGCTTACCACCACTGGTTATGGAGTGAATGAGTAATGCTCTGTACAACGTCTTTGTGACATATGTCTGCGAAAAGTGCTATATAAATAAAAACTCACTTACTTACTTAAACTTTAATCTTGCTTTTAATACATTTGAGATATTTGTTGCAAAAAATACCTTATCCTCTCCACAGATCTGACTTGTAACTTAGACTGGTGGCGTTGCCTGTTTGATAGACAAATTTATTGCCAAACTGTGGAATTTTAGTTGTAGTAGTAGTTTATTTGGTCACAAGAACATTAATAATGTCTCCATGGAGACAGCAAGGTACGGACCCTTCTTCTGAAAAGTTACATATTGCACATTTAAGTTGGCAAAGCAAAGCAGTCACATTATGGGAATAGAAAAGCTGAATTATTTGGCTATTGATAGACATGAAAGTGGGCTCTGCTGGTGGGTTCACAGGCCGGTCAACCAACACTCTGCTAATGATGGACACCCACTGTCTGTTGGAACGCGACCTCTGACCCTTGAGTTATTGATGGCCTAATCCACACAGCCTGCCCTGTCCTTGACTTAAATGAAGGCTCTCTGCAAGGCTACATTTACAGACTATTTAACTCACTGAGATATAAGAAACACCACTTTTTTGTAGTTGTCTTTTTTAATATATTAAGTGATATTTTACAAATGTCACAGGGACATTTAAAAAGTATATGGACCTGACCTGACCTACACCAATGCACTCCCATAATTCATCACACTGTCCCCACACAGCTGTGGTAGGGCTGCAGATTAATGGCAAAAATCTGCTTAGGAGTCCATTCCTTGGTGCAGGTGCAATCAAGAAAGGCACATAAGAGACAGAAGGGTAAAGCTATTATTAGCACAAGCAGCTCAAGTCAAGTCTATTGGTTTTGTGACAACCTCCAGTAAACACCAACAGAGGAAGAAGAAGTCAAATCTGTTGGTGATGCCAAATTCTGCTTTGTGCTGAGACACCAGCTAAACAAGTGGGGAGTGTGTAACTTGCTGTCTGCAAACAGTTAAAGATGTCTGCTACCAAACAAAAAAAAAACTTATTCATGTGTTTCAAAATGATGAGAAGTAGGACTGTAGACATTGTCTTGTCTTTTGAATAGTCAAACACCCACCAAATGTCAACTTTAAACTGCCTGTTTTGGTTAAAAAAGGAGACAATGAAGGTAAACAGGGATCAAGTTTTAACCATTGTAAATCATGCAAATCTTGTCCAGGTGACTGGTTAAAGAGTTAATTCCTAACATTCACTTTTTTTTTTTTACATGCACCACACTTATTTGTTGAAATGTCCAATAATGAATAAATGTCTCAAAGACTGGCTGACTGAGTGAGTTTATGTAGATGCCAGAACAGTGATTTGTGATCTCAATGTTTGAACACAATTCAATAGCAGAGTGATTAGGGGGCTGTCAGTGCCGCCTCTCTGCTCTTTTTTCTGGAGATGTGTACTCACCAGCATTAACCACCACATCAAAATATGAGTTGATTATACTGCTGCACTTTTGTGATGTTAAATTTGACCTTTGACCTCGCGGTCATACTCACTTGCTGCAGGTCCACTCCTCCCTGTGCCACTGAGAACAGCGGGTGAGAGCCAAAGTCTGACGCCTCGAACACCTTCAGCGGGCACAGGGAGACAAGAACAGTGGACACTACAGTTAGACCACCAGCACAGGCAACAGAACACACACCTACTACACTATGGAACTTCATAAATTGGCCTTATTTATCTTGTGTTTTAAAATCCTTTCAACTGCTTGAATAATGCCACAATTTTTCACTTCAGTTTATGAAAAATAATTCATTCCTTTCAAATCTTCTTCTGCAAAACTATATTTATTTATATGACCCTTGTGTCCGATCAATATTTCAAACTTAATGATGTATTTTCACAAAGATGCATGCTCACTGCTGCCTCAAATGTGCTTCAAAATAAGTGAAAATGCTTACATTTTCTGTGAGTCTCTAAATGAGAGGAAAATAGTCTAAGCCCACAATATGTACACGCTAACTTTAATTAAATGAGATATTTTATGATGATATTCTGCTTTCCGTGCACAACCTTCAGCCATCAACTTTACTGACCTTGATCAGATGTCATTACTTTTTCATTTAAGGGGTAAATTAGTCTGATGTAATATGTTGGATGAATGTAATGAAACAATGTGACGTTACTTTGAATGTCCATTTTTGATGTTTGGTGAGTGATATGTTCTGACACTAGATTGTATTACTGTTTTTTCATGTCAATATTACTAACAGACTCTTCAAATTCTACTCTAAATCCCCCATGGGTAGCACACATGTGGGACTGAGCTACTCTGTGTCTGTTACAGTCCAGTGATGCGTGATTGGACAGATAGTAGTGTCACCCCAACACCGACCACATGGAAACCTGCTCCACTCATATGCAATGCCATATAGAACATCTTCATCTACTTCAAAAAGTAAAAATCATGTTTGTCTAGCTTAACTAATACCACTTTTTTAGCAAATGATTATATATTCATGGTTCAGCAGTTCAATAATGGCCACTCTAGCCATTCACTGTCAGCACACACACACACACCCACACACTCACCTGTTCTATTTGTCTGTGTAACATGATTACAGGCTAAAACAATAATGAACAGTTACCAGCTATTGATTGGCAATACTGATCTTCAACAAACAAAAAAGAAATAAAGTTATCTCTATAATGCAACAGAAACCGGTCACATTTTATGCAATCAAATTTTTAATTTTTTTTTATTTTTGGAAAAACACAATTAGTGGTTATTGTTAATCACATTTGACTATTACATCTCACTAAGGTCCACAATTTAGTGAAGATTTGCTGTTGTTTCTTATCTGTCGTCTCTGTCTCAAAACAAAGCACTGTCAAATGTGAGACACCTTTTATTAGCTACTCAACTCCAGTGTTTTTTCGTATTTAATCTTGACATAAGAGACAGAAATATTTTTGAATTTCACAGAATTATAGCTTTGATTTCCCCATGAACAACTCTAGTCTTCTGGTTTATAAAAACACAACTACAAAGTTAATAAACTACAAGTTTAAGAAAAAAAAAAATCTCAAGCCCTACTGCATGTTTCTTTTACTGACTATAGAAGGCTAGAACAAAAGAACCCCCTCTATCACAACATATTCACTGTCTTTCTGTTTGGTGATAAACTGAAATTGTCTCCATATTGACATTAATGATGAATACCCACGGTAGCGTCTATTAAGATAAAGAGCCTTCATTCATTTTCCATGCAATTGACTGTGACAGGAGATGCCAATCAAATGACCGAGAGACTGGCCAGCAAGTGGACACGCAAAATGCAAACCACAGCTACTTTATTTTATACATTATTCACCAGGTTTTTCATACTTGATGATTACTCATTCTGCAACTTCAATTCTTCATGACATCTATCCATCACTGTGTGCAGTCTTCTAGCTCTTTCATTTATCCATGTTTATTCCTTTTTCCTGCCCGTGTCAATGATAAATCTACCATCATTCGTCTTTCTAAGCAGCTCATTTATAATTATCTTGTTTATTCTGCATTCATCAAACCGTCTCATTAGTATCTACCACAATGTATGATTCTGGTGTGTTGATAAGAGGTAATTTCGGACAGAATGTTTGCGTTCCTACCTGGTTTCCGGCCAGAAGCACGGTCCCTGGAATGGGGCTTGGTCGATATGGAATAGTGGCTCCCTTTGGCGGAGACTGGGCAGATAAGGAAGAGGAGAGGGTGATTAAAAGAGTGAGAGGAATTAGGGGATTAAACAAACTCATGGGTGAGATAATATGTATGGACAAAAAATAACTAAGAGCACAAGGGATGGAGGAGTGATAATGACTTTCTCAATATAAACATCCAATTACAGCAGGATTTCATACCTCTAACTAAGTGGCTTGAAATAACTTGATCTGAAGCTACATTAGGACTCCACTACTAGTGAAGTTAGAATTAAGCTGAATTACACTGTAAAAGTAATCAAATTGTAATCACGCTTGAGCTTCAGTCATTTCTAATAGTCAGTGATAAGCTTGAGTCTTTTTAATTGAGAGGTCCACAGAAAAGATGTAAGAAGAGTTAGTAAAATAGCTAAATTTCTCTCCAAACAGTTATAGCACAATATATTATCAACAGTGACTGGATCATGTATGCTGTAAACGCAGTACTGTAAGATTTTATACCAGGGTCTCAGAGTGAGGAACTTGCATTCAATCATAGTCTATGATTGAGTTATGTAAGTACAATCTGAATAGACACTTGGGCAGTTTTATCAGCACAACTGACAGAGGAGACATTATTTACTGTTGCCTGTTTGTTATAACAGAGGTTACAGGCTACAAAACACAACACTTTTAAACTTATGTTATGAACTGTAGATCAACTGAATTAAATAAGTACTCTGTCCAGTACATATATTTATACTTATTTTGAGTTCAATAAGTTGCAGCAAATCAAATATTACCAGATTTTTCCCCATGTATTTGAGTAATAATAAACTGTGCTCTGGCCTCTGAAATTTGTGAAAAGCTCTTGTGAAAAGTGCAATGAATATTTGAGATGCATAAGGTAGGTGAGGACCACTGAACACTATTTAAAATGAAGTAGTTCTGTTTAAGGTTGTAAAATTAGATACAGAGCTTTTAAGTTAACACACATACATACAGTATTTGCATTAATTCTCAGATAATAACATTTTGGGTCTGTCACTATTATTTACAAAAAAATCTAAGTCAGTGAGTTCACTAAGCCCAGACAAAGGCACCATGACTCACAAAATACTAATATTTTTGTAGGATATTCAAGGACAGAACTGAAGGACCAGCATTAAAAACACTCCTCAAGTTTCTCCAAAGTGGTTTCTTTCACTTCAGTCCCATGACGATTACCACCTAAAGTTCTCACGTTTGTTTAAGTGATTTTCCACACTTTGTCAGTTGTGAGTTTGGTTTGAAAGCTGTTTTTGCGTGATTGCTGCTGGGATCATGCGAACAGCTAATGCTCTCCTGATGAGATAAGCCATTACTTTTGCACTCCTAATGGTTTTCACTTCACCCGAGCTAATTTTGTGTCACTTTGTCCGACTGTGACGCTGGGTTGTGTATTGCAATATCCAAAATAATTACCTACGGAAAGATGAAATGCACTAGACCTTGCAGCAATATTTCTCGTTTTGCTATTCATCTGCTGAAAGGGTCGGGAGGGTTTTCAATCCCAGCATGCAACGGGAGGCAGCAGCGTGTCATAGAGTTGATCAAAAGCTTCTTGTTTCAGAAATGGAGGGAGGAATTTTACCTGGACAGAGTAAACTCGTATCTCAGAGGCACTTAAAAGTAAAAGTGGTTTGTATAAGGTCAGCATCTCATTTCTTTTCTCTCAGTTCCGCCTTCTGTCTCACTCCACATTAAGGTGCTCCGAATACCAATGAGCTCTCAAGCCTTTGATTTCACTCTTCCTGCTTATAAGCTCTCAGACTTATCATCTTAATGTCCGTCGCCTCTCAATAATTAGAATAAAACCATAAATTATAGATTGAAGTTCCCATTTGAAGATTACTGGAAAGGTGAACTTTTATGTGATGTTACTGGGAGATCAGACAGGTAGACGAGTCTAAAATTAGCATTGGGTTGCATCAGACTAGTGTTTCAAGTCTGGCTTTTGTGGCTAAGTGTGATCACAGTAAAACACATCAGGGAGACATCAAACTGGTTTTAAGGGCCATATTCTGTGGCTCAGTTTGACAGCAGAGCAGATAGGGTTACTAAGGGACTAAGGAAATGTTCATTTAAAGTTGAAAGAAACCAAGCTGAGTTTTATAGGAACTTAAAAACTTTTCACACAAAACACAGCTACCGGGTGACAGTTGCTAGTAGAGTGCAGTCCTCTAATTCAAAGGTTGGTGGTCCAAATCCCACATTCAGTATAAACAGCAATGGTTGAGTGGTCCCCTCCCAGCTCCCTCAGATGAGTACTTGTGTTGTGTCCTTTAGCAAAAGGTGAAAGGTTCTTTGATGTGCGTTGAGAGCCTTTAAATTGGAAAAGCGCTATATACAAATGTGACTATTTAACCATCTAATAAAACCAAACAAGGAGCAGACTATTTTTAATATAGCATTTTATAACCAACAGTAAGTCTCTCAATTGGATTATTTTCAGTAAAGCACCTTGATTCTGCAGTTTATTTCCAACTAATATCCTGCTTACGGGTTTATAGAATTTTTGATTGTTAAGGAGGAGATGAAAGAAAATCAAAGCATGAATGGAAGTAATAAAGGGTCACTAATGATAAAACAGCCTGATTGCGGCTTTTGCATTTAATAATTTAATAATATGACTACCACTTTTGTCCAGCTGCAGAACATGGGCTATTGATCTGTATCCTCTTATACTGTGCTATTTACAGGACAATGTTTTGTCTGGGTGTACAGAAACAGAAAATGTAATGGCATGAGTCACTCCCTTGTTTTGGTTAGAACTATCAATTTGGTAAAGAGGAGGTAATGGAGTTTATTTTCATTTAAGCAAACTAAAAAAAACTTTTATTTATAGGCCTGTCAGAATAATTACTATATTCACTTATCGTTCAGTATATTCATGGTACTTTTTCTTTGTAATTGTAGGAAAGGTGTGCTTATTTTTTCAGCAGTATGTTACAATTTGAGCTGTAGAAGATTGAATTAGGAACTAAAATTACACAAACAAATTACTTAAGTGTTTATTTATTTATTTATTGTTTATTTGAATAGACACAGATACACAAACATAGATTAACAATTCAGTAATCTGATGCAGGTATCACAGTATTTATAGCCAAGGCATATATATACATTACATATTCTTTATTCTTTATATATTTTATTTATTTATACAGCAGTATTATCTTACATTTAGAATACTTTTTTGCAGATAATTATGCTTTATGTTTTTTTTTTCAGTATTATAATTTATCATATATACTTACTTCAGCAATATATCACACTTAAAAATGTGTTATTGTGACAGGCCTATTTACTTAAGTGTTTATTAATTTGTCTTCCTCTTCACTTACCTCTAGTATAACAGTACAGATGAGCTTGACACACTGGATAATGGCGTCCTGGTTGCCTGATATGGTCACCTCCCTCTCGGTGGAGTTGGGGAGGAGGTCCCCTGCCACCTGCACTTGTGCCCCGGTGGTCTGAGCACAGAAAGAGCCAAAGACACAGTGAGTTTGACAGCACATGCAGCACATGACAGTCTGAGGCACAGCACTGGAACATACACAGGGCCACAGCTGACAGCTCTGGGATCAGCTCTATTTATACCGTTACAGCAGGTACCGCAACATTGAATAACGCCATATCATTGTTGTGACAGAGAATCGGAGAATTATTAATATATTTAATCAGACATGCACTTAGTTGTTTATTGTTGCCATGGAAACAGCTGCATAATGCACACTGTATGAATCCAAGGAAACTGAGGTTAAAAAAAAGATACTATACCCCATTCACTGTTAGAAGATGTATACCAAACCAATTCATTTTATTAGGATCAGATACTATTTGACAGTTCACTACGTAAGATACTGCTGACTTAATTTCTTTTCTCAAAGTGTAACTACATAGTAGGCCTACAGACCTAGTTCCCAGACTGGAGAAAAGGCACCCCAGAGAGTTCAAGAGGGATACATCACCATTTATTACATTTATTTTTTATGTTAGCTTAGTGTAAACAGTATAAAGTAGTATAAATAGTATAAACAGAGGCGGTGCTACCATTAGGCACAAGTAGGCGACTGCCTAGGGCCCCCAAACCTGGAGGAGCCCCCTACCAATTACCCTCAGTGCCACTAATGGCCTAGGGCTCAGAGCAATTTGATTTTCTCTCAATATGACATTAAATAAGAGTAGTTTACATTTAATAATAATAATAATCATACGAAAAAAATAATAATCATATCTAATGGATGTAAACAAAAATGTAATTCTACTAGCAAAATAAAACTACTTTCAGCTCTGGTTATCTAGTAGGCTTCCTAACTTCCTAACTGGGGCTACTTTGGTTGGCGGTTCAAATCCCACTCTTGACATAAAAAACATCATGGGTTGAGCGGTCAGATCCACTGACCCACAGATTGGCTGGTGTGATGCCGGTTCTCACAGAAGAATGCTGTTGTTGTGTCCTTGGGCAAGACACTTAATCCACCTAGACCCCAGTGTCTGTGTACACTGGTGTATGAATGTGTGTGTGAATGGGTGAGTGGTTCCTTGTTGTAAAGCGTTTTGAGTGCCTTGAAGGTGGAAAAGCGCTATACAAAAATGTGACCATTTAACTGATAAGACAAGTTTCCAATCCACCCTTATTCAAATTAATAGAAAATGTCTCAAGAACAATGGGGAAAAACAGACAATAAATATATTAAAAAACAAAACAGAAAAAAGGTGCCTTATAGAGAGGGCCCCAAACTCAAGTTCGCCTAGTGTCCCAAATTGCTAACTCCTCCACTAACTATAAAATACATTTTGGCATAAAAAAGAAAAGACTTTGAAAAACACTTTGTAATATTTGGATTTCAATTCAAATTTGACTCACAGTATTATTTTTATATATACTTACCTCTCTAATTTCTTTGATTTTGGACCCTCCCTTCCCTATGAGTGATCCACACTGACTGGCTGGGATGACTAACCGCAGAGTGACCGGAGGCTTGTTGGTCATTGTGCCGTTGGCCACCAGGGCTGTCAGGTCCTGTCCAGAGAAACACAGGGATTCACAGTGATGAGAGCTGAAGTGAGTAAAAACTGATGCATGACTCAGCCTGGCCTCCCCTGAGCTCAGAGGATTTAACAGGTAACATCTGCTGTTTCCACCATTAGCCTGTCTATCACAGTGAATGCCTTCCACTATATTAAGTATACATATGTGTACTGTGCTTGGGGCAACTCAGAGAACACACTGTGTAACTATGGGGGGTATCATATTGGTAATGTCATATTATATTACAGTCCTTTTTACAAAAAGGAAGTTAATTAGTGACCCACAGTTTAACTTTTGTGGGTATGATCATCAACTTTAAAATAATGATAGAGGCAAATAAGGCTTATTGACAACAGTAGCAAGACCAATTTTGGAAATTGTAAAATAAAAAATAAAATGTATTGAAAAAATATATATATAAATAGAACATCTGTAGCATTACACATGAAAAATAATAAAAGAATCTTAGATGATGTCCAATCAAATTGGGTGCACATATCCACTCTATAACTTTATATATATGTGTTTTATCTCAGAAAATCTAAAATCTAAAACCTCAAAATACACGTTACTCTCTCCTGGAGGTCCCTTGAGTTGAATGACCCCTCCCCTCCTGTCCGTCATCCTTCCATTCAAATGCATAGCACACTTTACATTTGCTCTGGTCACTGGTCCCTGTCTCTCTCCTACTGCCACTGTCTGTCTCTATGACCTTGGCTGCTTCTTGTTTGTTTATAGTATGTCATAAAAGCCATTGGTTCAATTGTACAGAGTTAGTGGATGCATGAGTTATTGATATAGCTCTGTTTGCGCAATAATCCACTAACACAAAAAGAAATGCACTGACGCAACCGGGTCTTTATGTCCTTCTTGTATTTCACTGGGGCTGAGTACAGCACAATATTCTCCAATATCATTTGTCACAAACATGATAAAAAATGTTGAAGCGATGTGATGAATGACAACATCAAAGACCATTTTAGCATTTAAGCAGGATAACCCATTTTGACCTGTAATGTAAAATATACAATAAAATACCAAAATGAAACACAATTACTAACTTGTCTCAATAAAGAGTCATATCTATTGTTATTCTTCCTCTTGCAGCTCAAGAAAAAAATAAATAAAATAAAATAAAAAAAATCCAAGGTTTCAGGGCAAGGCAAATTAAATGTACAGATGATGAATACTGAGCTCATAATTTTATGTTTTTTTTTTCTGTTATTTACGGAACTATAAATCACATATTACAACGACAGGGCTACCTCCATTTCCCCCTAATCTCTTAAAACTCTTTTTCTGGAAGGTACTCTGTCTCCCTCATCCTTTTAATTACCTCCACTTACAAATCGCAGCCTGCTAGAATCACCTGGCTCTTATACAAGTGATCAATCCATTCATTTGGGCAGTGGACTTGGGGCTCTTATTCTCATGGGGCCATGTCTGCTCTGGCCATCACACACTGAATAAAAATTGCAGCTTGTCCTCTGGAAAATATGGCACGTCTTTATTTATCCCAGCATGTCACATAGACGTCTGGTACACAAGCCTTTTTCCCTATTTTTGCTGTAATTGACAGACAGCAGGCCCACACATGCACGCTCCCCTCTAGATGTGACGTGCCAACGGAGCCATTGAAACTGTTTGGTGAAATGAAATAATCTTGAGCTGTCAGTGGGGTAAAATCGTCCCAGCCTTTGCTACTACACAAACTTATATATTTTCATTTTCTCTCCATGCAGAAGTAGAGCAGTGTTTGTTTGTGTCACGTATAAAGCAAGTGAGAGTGTGCGTTCTTTGAGCAAGGAAGGTGGGTTATTTTGAACAATGCTGACTGCTTCCAATCCAAACTTTACAAAATAATACTCCTTGCTGTATAATCCCCATAGTTATTCAGAGCAATACGTAGCAACAAAATCATACATGCATGCACTATATTGCAATAGGGAAACCAGCAAAACATAATGACATTACCAAATACATGATCCATGTGCTTTCTCACACTGGGGCACATCCCCAGAAATGTTCTGATGAAAATAAAAGCATGTGTCTGATCATGTGGGATTGTGCTACCATCATATGAAGTTAGTACAGTAAGTGCCACAGTATAGGCACCCAAAGGAGAAGGGCTCCCAGGGGATTAGGGGACTACACAACAGTTTCAGTTGCCTGTGTCTGACGTATTACTTACACTTCCCATTTTTCCCAAATATTCAACTGCATATCTCCTCCTGCTCCTTTCCTCCAAGACCTCCTCCTGCTTGTTTCTATGGAAATGTTGTTCCTTTGGCTATAATATTCCACAGTATAGCCAGTATGGTATAAAACGTATCCTTGTTCAACAGTTCAACAGTTCATCAGTTCAAAACTGTTTTGAACAACACTTTTATAGTGCAACTGAATAAGTGGCCATTCAGTTTTTTCTTCTTTTTTTTCTCCATAGCAACTACAACAAATAGGTAACATAATGAAATAAGAAAATATTTAGCCTTCTGAGGAGCACACACTAAAAAAATAAGGTTAAACCAGGTCTAAAACAGAACTACACAATTGGTAAATGCTTTAAACAAGGCCTAACCCAAAGGAGACCACAAATGTGAAAAATGTGTCCTTACTTGACACATGCAAAATTATCTCATCAAATGTCCTTGCTAACACGTTGCCTCAAACAGTACTGGGAATGGACTGTGTTTTAATGAGGGAAAGGATGCAGCTCCAACTCCTTTGTTTACACATATGATGGGGTAAAGGCAGGCTGCCACAGCCTTAATGACTAGAATGAGAACGCAGAGGAGGAGGTGGAGGAGGACAGATTCAGAGAACTCTAGATGGCTCCACTCAGAGGATTTAACGGTATGGAATTAAATGGGAGTCTGTGAGATGGAGATGAAAGGAGAAAGATAGCTTCAAAAAGGCTGAAAACATATAGAAAATATAGGAAGCTAATGCTAATGAAGGTAAAAGAGGATTGAGCTTATCAGAAAATATTACCCAAGGATTAAATGGGTGAATCCATCAAACATATGTGCGCTAACTGGTCATAGTTCTTTATCAGTCTTTATGCATAATCTAAATGTGTGTGTGTATATGTATATATATATATATATATATATGAATGGTATGGCGACATAGTGTCACAACCAATGTTATTACAAATAAACATACATTTTTATACATATACATACATACATTTTTATATTCTTAAATACAAGAAAAAAATGTGTTCCTTGTGTAAATTTCAGCTGCATTTGGAATATTATGTTTTTGTATTGATGAGTTTTTGTATTGATGACAGTGAAGATAGACAAATTCCCTTTTTAAACTCAGGACTGCTTCCTGTATTTTTCAACCTTTTGGGATCAATATTCCTTCACAAACTCCCCTTACTTAATGTAACAGTGTGATGAAAAAAATATTTAGCACTGGTAGTGCACCAAACAAAGTCATATTTGAAAACATCACCTGTCATATGCACTTTAAGCAGTGTTAACCATTGTGTTTCTTGACACATTGGAGTGATTTGCACGCGTACCTCTTCCAGTTTGAATGCGATCATGGTAAAGGCCCGGAACACACAGTCCGTTGGTCCTGTGATGGTGATGATCCTTTCGGGACAGGAGCCTTCTGAAATATTGATCCTGGCACTGCTCTGGAGGTGCACACAGAAACACACACACGGGGGAGGGGCCAGGCAGGGGGAGGCGGGAGAGGGAATCAAATTAATTTAGGAGGGTCAGAGGGTAAAGGAATAGGATTGAAGAATGATTGATGGGAGGCAATAGGGTAGAGACGAGTGGTGTGAGGTTGTCGGAGGGGTTAAGAGATGGTGGAAGGAAAGGCAGAGAACATGTTAATGGGGGAGGGTTTGGACACACAAGAGGAGTAAAATACTTTCATATGTACTTTATGCCCCAGTCCCAAACAGAGCCCATGTGATGGAGGAGGAGAGGGAGACAACACTGAGTAGATCAAGTAGAAAGGATGAGATTGGGAGAATACTCTGATTTGCATTGCATTTTGCATTTGTCTATGTACAATTACTGGCCAAAAATGGGTTTCAGTTTTGGTGAAATTTTGATCAGTTCCACCTCAATATGTGATATAATTGTTAGACTTTTAGATAATTTAAATGATGTCTTCTATTGTATTGTCAGTGTTAAATGTTGAGTTTCAGTTCAATTTTCAGTAAAGATCACAAAGAAAGAATGAAAAGCCAACTATTGGCCAAAGGTGCTTGCCCCCAAATGTTGTTTTATTGAGAGATCGGGCTGCAATAGATTCCAGTTTCCAACAGGACACAAGCTATTGGCTGGTGCTTATGATCACCAGTTAAAGTACACCATTCTTACAGACTGACCAACTGATTAAGATGCTTACAACTTCACAACAAGTATAACTGCATATGATTAAAGGTGAATTATGTAATCTTTCCATCTACTTGTTTCCATGGAGATTTTATTGGTTTGCCTGAAATGTTGCATTAAACATGGTCTGGTGGTGTCATTTGCTTGCCAAGGAGATAAAGAAGTTGAATGCCAATCTGTGGAACATTTAAGCAACACAGTAAAATATCTATTAAAAAAAGCAGCTCCACCGGAGAGGTTACATGGTGCATCTTTTAATAGAACCTACCTCTGATTTTCAAATCATACACACTTGAACACTTCCACTAGTTTGTATGAGATATTATAGATTCATGTAAGAAAAGGGGCCTAAGCATGGAATGATTCAGAGGTATTTGGTAAATGAGGGATGGGGGTTTGTGTAGAGTATTGTTAAAAGGATGGGGAGTGATAGACAGACAGAGAGGAGAAGATCAGTGGAACTGGAAAGACCAGGTGTAGCAAATATCTAAGTCTAAGGAGGAATGCTTGCATTAAGGTATGGATGCACTTTATGGTTAGCACAGAATAAGGGTCAGGAGATGACGGGTGGTAATTAAAGAATGGGAAAAAAAATGAAATGCCTTTAAAACATTTCCTTGTAACTGCTGTTGGAGTAGTCACGTGTGTCTGACAGACTTGACCTCGTCAGATGTCAGTGAACTACACTCAGTGTTGGGGAGTAACAGATTACATGTACTGGAGTTAGGTAATCAGAGTACAAATTATGAGTAACTGTATTCAGTTACAGTTACTGTTTCAGTGAGTGATAATTGGATTACAGTTACTTTGTTGAAATAAATGGATTACAGGACGGTATTTTCCTGTTTTCACATTTTGGGCTAAACCAGGACTAAAACCAGAACCAAACCAGAACTAAACCAGGACTAAAACCAGAACCAAACCAGAACTAAACCAGGACTAAAACCAGGACTAAAACCTGGACCTAAACCAGGACTAAACCAGATCTAAACAATATGATACCTAACATTAGGGTGGACATAATTTCAGGCAGCAGTGACCTCATATAAAAAGCATTTCTTTATCAATAATATTTTTAATAAGGTTAAGGAAAGACTGGAATTTTTATTGTTTTTAAGCAGATATGTTCAGATCCTCGTCTTTGCTACTTTACAGTAAACAAATGCCTGTTCATGGAGACTTGGGCTCAACAGACAAACAAACAAGAATTTTCAGGACGTGGTCGGTGCTTTCATGTAGTTTTAAAAACTATGACAGTATCAAGTAATCCAAATTATTCAGATTACGTTACTCACTTTAAGTAATTTAATGGATTATGTTACAAACTACATTTTGGGGTATGTAATCTGTAATCTGTAGGGGAATACATTTTAAAAGTCACCTTCCCAACACTGACTACACTGCTATGGATTAAATGTTGAAGTCATATTTTCCTTCTATAATAAACACTAACTAACCCTCAACAATATATGTACAGTTATAAAACATACTGACCTGTGCCTGTGTGTACAGATTTGTATGCTGAGTTTGCATGACTCTATGTGGGCGTATTTGCATATCGCTAATTGAATAACAACCACTGAGTTGCAATTTATTCCAACATGTACAATTTATCTAGGGTCTAATGATTTCATTTACATGTGGTTAGACATTTATATGATCCTATGGTTTCATACTTTCCACAAATCTTAAATAGTTTTGGTGACAGATGGGGCATGTCTGTGAATATTTTCTTGTGCACTTTTAGTACACATTTAGTGAGCAATAATAGACACATTTTCTTTAAATAGTAACAGTACAGACTATATTGTTCTAACTGTTTTAATATGAGTGTTATTTTGGTGCAGTTTTATTATTTATGATTCCCCTGATAGAGATACATCTCTGAATCCCTCTCCTATCTCTCTTCTCTCTGTGGAGTGCACACATTTCAATGATTTTCTCTGGGGACAAACATTTTAAACACAAATCCACCCTCTGGATGGCACTCTGGCACATTATTTAACCATTTTCCAACTAAACTAAGTCAATTTTGTCTCATTAAAACTTTGTTGCTCCTTGTTTACTTGGACTAAGCCACCTTGAGGAGTGTTGTGACCTATTTAGTACATACTAGGATGGGAATAAAACATCTATTTGTTATGGCTCGCCACAAGTTTGAATTTTCACTTGTGGCATTTGTTTTATAGATCTGTGTAACTCACTGGCACTGCATTTTGTCACTTTCATAGCTCTTTTTTCAATCCTTCATTGGACAGGGATAATCTTATCTTTAATTCCCCACTGGGAATCCCCACAGCTTAGCCTCCCACTGCCGTACAAAGATGCTCTCTGGTATTCATATTAGGTGCAGCATATATGTTAACCACTGACTGATGTTCCTGCACTCCACCGTACTTGGGAATAGGCCTTTTACTTGTCTGAGATTTGCAATAAGAAAAAGAATAAAGAGATGGTATGTGATTTTTTAAAGACTACTTTCTACAGGGAACTAAAAAGATACGATTGTGATTGTGTAATGATAGTGTGAAGCTACAGTCAGTTAAGCTGAAAAGAACATTTTTTTTATATTGATCTAAACCCATATCTTTGTGGTTGGCCAAAATAAAAGTTATACGTTTAATAGCCTTAATAAAGCATGCACACATACTTTGTTAAAATTAATTAAGGCTTAGTAACTACTTCATTAATAGTATAGCCTAACTCCCAACCATATGTTTAAAGTAGTTATCCAGCCTAAATCATTTTTAATGGCTTGTTCATTATGAATTCAGACTTTGTGTATGCTTTGTGCAAACAAAACACAAACCAAACACAATACAATTTCAGAATACACTCAGATCTAAGTATGCTGAGTTTAGATTTTTTTTTTTCTTTATACTATTTACTATTTTTGTACCATTTAACTACATTACACATTTAAGCCCTTTTTAATGTATTTTTGGCTTGCATGTCACAAGAAAGACAAGGACGTGTATTCCGCTGGGAGGCTGCATGACTACATCTCTACGCACTGCTTCTTCTTACCAGAGCAGAGATAGCAAGATGTGAGCAGCATGACAGGCAGCTCGAAACCAACTACTTTGAACTACACAATGACGGCAATAGTAATATGGTAATAAATGAGTGAAACAATGTCTTATTTTACTTTGTGGATCACTTATGGATGCAAAAACATATACAATCTTTAAAGAAATTGCACTATATCATGATCCTGGATGTGCCTATCATGTTAAAACTACTTTGTGTTCCAATGGTGTCAAAAGAGCTGTGTCTTTTGATTAGGTCCCAATTAGCAGATTGGATGTCCAGAGTTATGGGAAGTTACTTGGAAACATGCAGGGAGATGTGACAGACACAGGAAAGAATAGAACATCTTACCTCTTCTCGTATTCTCTTTACAGTTTCTCCTTTCTGTAAAGACACAAGGGTGAAACAGTGAGGTTTGTGGAAAGACATGTTACTAACAATATTATCAGAATACATCAAGTCATAACACTGACATAAAATAAGAAAAATAAACTATCTGTCCAATGCAATCCACATCCATATTTTTACCTTGTCTGAACCTTTCAACTATCAGTGTTACAATTTGAAATATAATGCTTGTAAGTGCAGAAAAGTCTGCAACGTTTTTATGTCAGCATTAAAAATGAAAATGTCTGTATCTTAGCATCTAAGAGCTGTTGTGACAGATCCCAGTGGTCATACAGGGAAAATATGTCAAACAAAATCGTTACTCAGGTGTAGATGATAGCATGATCAAATAATGATTGGAATATTTCCTGTCTTATAGAGCAGCTTAGTCTTAGCTCTCGCTCTGTGACAGTCAGGGTGATGGTGTGTGGGATCCTGGAGAGCAGTCACTTGTGTTGTCACCATGCTAAAATTTCCAGCTTCATTTTGAAGGCTCTATACTTGATTCCAGTTTCGATTTATCTTTATGTATACAACATGAAAAATAATTTTCAGCACACAAATTTTGTAGTCTTTATACTATTATTGTGTAAATCTACTACTTTATTGTTCATATTTATGTATTTTGTTCAGAGCTGATATGTGTTCAAAATCTTTCCATACTAGTTTTTGTGTCAGTTAGGGCTGTGGTGGTTAGGGAATTTCTCCTAAGGTGCGGTATAGCAGCTCAACACTGTGGTACACGGTGATACCGCACCCCTCCCCCACACCCCATCCCCCGGAGTTACAATATTTTGAGCGGCACTGAAAACTCTCTCCGATGATGCATTGTTGCTCATCTACCTTGTTTGTCGCGCAGATATAGCATGTGTAGCATGGAAGAAGTAACATTTGGCTTTGGAACAAGTGCCGCTGCATCTCTCCAGCTCTCACTGTGGCAGGTCAGCACAGAGTCCTGCACCAGGTTGGGTCGGTCTACAGTGGTGCACCTGACCAACCCAGTCCTGGGTTAGTCCTGGGTTAGTCTTGGGTTATCATGGGCATGGGCGGTAACGGGTGGAATATTAACGGGTCCGGGTGGGTGCAGGTTTCTAAAAATGGACCCGTGCGGGACTCTGGGTTAGGGTTAAGTTGGTCACGTGCGGTAATCGCGTTTGCCCAACATACACTGCGGTGGGCCTCTTAGTACGCACTGATTCATATTTGCGATTATTGCGACAGCCCTAGTATCGATTAGTATCTGGGTATAATTTTTTAAAATAACTTTAGCAGTGACCACACACTGACACAAACCTCCACATTACAGCAGCCGTGTGTAAGTTTTTTACCTTCTTTATGTGCTAGAACACTGCACACTGCCCGACCACACACTGAAGCAATGAGAAAGGAAACGTATCTAAATATATGCTGAAGGAAATCACTGATAATCATGGGTTAGCTGCTGCGCTGTGAGGCCAATGGTCATTATCACACTGCACTGACTCTAGCTCTGATATATTTGGAACAACCCTGCCAGGGTTTATTTAACATGTCCGGTGTGAAACTGAATGACACCAAAAGTTGCTTTTCGGGAAGTTTGGAATGATGTGGGCCTAAAGGAAAATTTCATGCAGATTACATGGTAAATTTGTATAGCAACAGTGGGATTACATTTAATATGATCTTGTTAATACGCTTATTCAACTATATGGAGCTAAAGATGGGACACGTAGATACATATATATAGCACCTCTAGGGCAGTAAAAGAAAGACATTTCACATTTTCTATAGTCAAAGGTTTTGCAGAAAGAGCATTTCTCAGAACACTATGTACAATGCGCTTTAATGCTTACCAATACAATACAAACACAATATTGATTATGGAATGACACTCACCTTGCCGATAATGCTTCCTACTTCCTGTAAGAGACAAAACGAACATGTTAATTGCATTGTCAGTGTTGAAAAGTTATCCGATCCTTTTATGAATGCAACACACACAAACAATTCAATAATTACTGTCCTACACTTTAGGTTCAACTAAAAACAAAACATAGAAAAAGTTTTATAATCAGACAGTCTCATAACGATGACTATAGGCTATTTTATTTTTTTAGTAATTATATGATAAGAGAACTTACAAGGTCAGTTGTTCTCTGTTTCCTTGTTAGGTAAGTCTAGTATGTCTAGTACGTATGAACTTATTCTGACCTTGCCGTGCATCAGTAGCCTGAGTGTCAGCGTCACTCCCATGGCTCCATCCCCAAATTCCTGCTCACAGCTCATGGTGGTGGAGGTAGAGGAGGTGGAGGAGGAGGTGGTGTGGTGGTGGGTGGAGGTGTGGTGGGTGGAGTCTGTCGCTGGGAGACGCATGAAGGTCTGAGGCCCCGAGGCGACAGGAGCTGTGCTGGGAGAAGCCACTGATTCTGCCAATGTAGCCCAGGAGCTGTGGGGGGTCAGGGTGAAACTGCAGGGGGCGCTGTGGTGCACAAGGTATGAAGTGTGGGGCTTTCTCTGATTCCTGTCTGAGAGAGAAGAAAGAGAATTAGGTCAAATTTACTCCTTTTTTTTTTTCTTTTTTTCTTTTTTCCACTGTTTCACCTTTGCTCTTGTTTGGTAAATCCTGAATGATATATCTTTGTATATTTTTCATACAGATTGATATAAAGCCTGACCAAACGTAAATTTTTTTTTTTTTCAGTGAGGCATGTGAAACAAAGGAGCTCACTGGTCATCTATCTCCTACAAATAAAATCTAATTTATCTCACCTAAGATTAAAAGACAAAGCAAGTTTATTTGTATAGCACAAAGTAATTCAAAGTGCTGTACAGAATAAGAGATAAATTAAAATCAAATCAACAAATCAAAACATAAATAATCACCCTAAAATTAAAAAGAGAGAGAGACATTAAATTAGAGAGAAGAGTGTGGAATGAAAAATTAAAACCTTTCAGTCATATGCACAGCTAAACAGAACTGTTTTGAGACTGGATTTAAACTAGGGTTGCCCTGATCCGATCACTGTGGACTCGATCCGGACTCGGACGTTATGAGCTGATCAGGTATCAGATCAATAATATACGTATATTACACAAAGCGCACACAGGACACACAGCACACAACAGTTTTTCTGAGATGTGGGATTTGCTCAGCTCGACTGTCTGCCCCAGCACCTGCTGTACTAGAGAACTTTTGGGCCGTGCCGTGCTCGGGCGCTGTTACCTGGGGTTCTGTGGCCCATGTTCACACCTGCTTGGTCGATGGCGTCATCGCACGGCTCTGTTTGTTGCAAACAAAACAAACAGCGCTGTTGTGCAGCGGAGCTGGCGCTATTGGCAGCATGCAGCGTCTATTGCGCGTATGACCGATGTTGCAGTGCACGCTGTGAATTTGTAGATGTGGTGGCAGTACGGAGGAGTGGGGGCAGCTGAGAGAGAGAGACTGTGGAGCTTCTGTCATCTCGTTTTTATTTGGTAAGAGTTTGTATTATTTGGAGATCATAAACTGGCCTAAATGTTTCAAATGTAATTCACATGTTTCCATATAATATCAAATATACAAACTCTAGATTGTTCGGAGTCTAGTCTCAGGGTCTGATCTGATTCTGGTCTGGTTCCTGTTTTGTCCAGTTCATTAAGTATACTACACATTCCAAGACCATACTGTGAAAAGTTTCAACAATGATGGTGCATGGTGCATAATAAAACAAATAAAGTTTTGGACATTTGATTTTTCACACTAAGTTCAGCCCAAATACTACACATTGAAATCAATACAATCTGATCCCCCCATACATCCTGGCTCTTATTCTTTGCTCTTAGTTCATTTTATAATGTTTTATAGAAGTATCGGACTCGGTATTGGCAGATACTCAAAATCAAAGGACTCGAACTCGGGGGCAAAAAAATGTGATCGGGACATCCCTAATTTAAACAGCGTCAAAGTAGAGGCCTGTCTCACATCTTCAGGATGACTGTTCCAGGTTTTAGCTGAATGAACCTGAAACGCTGACTCCCCGTGTTTAGTCGTGACTCTGGGCACCAGCAGGAGGTCGGTCCCTGAGCTCCTCAGAGTGTGAGATGGTTCATATGGCACTAACATTTCACAGATATACTTTGGTGCTCGGCCATGGAGAGACTTGTACACAAGCAGAGCTGCTTTAAAGTCTATTCTCTGAGCCACAGGAGCCAGTGCAGAGACCTGAGCACAGGACTTATGTGCTCGTACTTCCTAGTTCAAGTCAGGAGGACTCAAGCTGCAACGTTCTGGATGTACTGCAGTTGTCTCACATCTGGTTTGGAGAGGCCAGTGAGCAGACCATTACAGTAATCTAAACTACTGGAAACAAACGCATGGATAAGTCTCTTCAAGTCTGCTTTAGACAGTAAACCTTAGATTTTTGCTATGTTTTTTAGATGGTAAAAGGCTGCAGATGTTATTGATTTGGTGTGGATATTAAAGTTTGGTTAAAAGAGTTTAGTGTTTTGCTCATTGACTGCAAAAATCTGCCATGATTTTCAGTCCACTCCACTGTGATTTTTTTAAACTTTTTTTTTTCTGACATTGACAGACCATGCATGTCCCTGATTGGCTATGCCACCTGTCAATCGCGCCCATCTGAAAACTAGCAGATTCACCAGCGACCAGACTCACCACGTCATAGAGTATTGAAGTGTGTATTCTCAGTACCAGACAACCATTTCTCTCCTTTGAACAAAAAACACACCCAGTTTTTAACAGTTTGATTTCCAAAATAAGATGGATAGTAACATGTCAGATTTTTTGAAGATACCCTATATTCAAAATTTGTGAGCTAAAAAAAAAAGAAAAAAGCTAGATGTTAATTTCTCTGTCAGACACTTAAACCTCAGTACATAAAAAAACAACAACAAAAAAAAAACACTTGCAATAACTGGTGACCTACAGAATTGTATTCATACAGCAAGAATGCTTATCCAAATAACCTCTTAATAACTAGTCAGGCTTTGCTAAATTCCTGTGTTAATTTAATGAAGGGCTATTGATATGGTTCACCAGATGCTTCTTACAAAGCTCCATGGGAAACAGGACAAATCACAATTGGACAAAATGGCCAGGAGTGACGGCAGTAAAGATGCAGCAGTACTGAAAACTTGCTTATGGTATCCCAATAAATACAAGACCAGCACGTGGGGTAAATCTCCTTAATACAGTTTTACTTATATGTGGTAGTGAGTGACTATGTAGTTTGAGATTACATTTACAAACTTATTTCATTGCTAAACCAAAACAACATGCTTCTATAGTCACAAGTGACTAGACGTTTCCCTGTTCAACATCTCGAGCTGCATTTTAAAAGCACATTGCGATCAGGGACCTCTCAGGCTCGATGAGAGGTGTGGAATTAGCTGAATTTATCAAGTGACAGAAGCAAGTCAACAAGTCTGCAAGCTCATTTAAACATTAATTGGGCTCTATGTTCAGACAGCTTAAGGGAGGAAATAAATTGGCTCTGGGTCTGAAAATACTTATCAAGCATGATGATACTCCAAACAGCCCAACCTGAATCTACTTCCACTTCCACTCTATTGTAAAGTGAGTATAGTATGCAATCATAGGTAACACCATGGGCTAACAGCATTGCCTGACTAGACTAGACTATAATTTTCCATTACTTAAAGTAAGTAAGTTTTTTATTTATATAGAGCTTTTTGTGACATTTGTCACAAAGACGCTTTACAGAGCAATATTCCTTCAGGACACTGTAGTCTGGAGCAGGGTCTCCACAGGTTCCAGTGGGTGTAATTGACAAGTTGATTAACTCACCAGAGAAACACATGGCCCGTGTGGTCCATGTGCCACTGCTGCTTTCAAGTTAAAGGAATTAAATATATTGAGAAACAGCAATGGACTTCTGTAAAATCAATGGGCAAAGCACTAAGTCTGAGTTAGGGCAAGTGCATGAATGAATTATGACTACAGTGTAACACTTCCAGAGGCTTAGACCAGCCTGAAGTTCAGTGTTATTATCAATTATTATTATTATATCTGGTCATTTTGAAAAGCCGACCTTAAAAATGTTCATTTATTTTGGATCACTTCTTTACCTGTATCATGCCATGTTGTAGTAATGAAATTATGAGTGAGTTCATAAGTGTGCATGCATTTCCAATTGCAGCATTAGCGTCTGCATCAACCCCCTACCATCCCACTCCTCCCATCTCATAAAAAATACACATTGGAACCCAAAGTAGGTCACAAATGCGATGCAGGCTGTCTGGCACGCAACCCGAGCAGCATCATGACAACACAGCAAAAACACACAGGGACGGCTCCCACTGCAGAGGGACCAGGGTACAAATAAACAGTGAGTATGGAGCACAGAGCTGGAGGAGATGTGGAACTGCAGGAGAGAAAGTTTTACTCACAAGCGTAAGCAAGCAGGTGTAATAGTAAGTATCTTTAAAAGTCTACCCCAGGGCAGCTGTGGCTACAATAGTGGCCACAGCTGAGTGTGGAGCCAAAGGGCTTTACAGTTCATTGTCTTGAAAGGTGCAATATATATGTAATGATTAAAAATTATATAAGATGCTTATATGGATGTGGAAAATGTCAAGTAAAAAGTCTGACTCTGTAGGCTGTATGGATATTACACACTACAAAAGGGCTGTTAACTTGATTGTAAGACTGATTGACGCTGCACAATACATTGCAATATGATCAAAAGTGTAACTGTAATTGTTCAGTGCATCGATAAATCGACTAAAAGGGGTTGAAGTGTGGTGCTGGGAAAAGCTCTCAAAATGCTTAATATCTCATGCATAATCTACTCTGTACACAGATGAGCAGTAGTAAATAGCATCTTCATGAGTTAAAAGGCAGATTAAACTTTTCAGTTACTCCAAAAAATGAATTTGGGAGTTGATTTTATGGTTGTGAACAGAAAATACACAAGCGACAAAACTAGAGAAGAAACTAATGCATTGGCTTAAAGGCCTACAAAAGCATCATATGAATTATTGAGTCATTCAGATGCTCCAGTTAAACCCACCCCCTCTCTCATTTACTGTCCATTTCTCGCACTCCCATACATACAGCTCTACTGTCACCCTCCCTGTGGACACGCCCTTGTAGAGAGGGGGTGGAGGTCAGTGCTGAAACAGTGCAAGTCTGCAGGCTGTTCACAGTCACCCGGGGCAACAGCAGCGCCCACTAGGGGGAGCTGCTCAAGTACAAGATTGACAATAGTTTACAAAGAGGGCAACACAATTGGCCTTATACAGAACAAGAAACAGGATTCTTGTTTTCTATACGGCCATTGTTTGTTTCTGGGTAAATGTTACACTGTCACCAGCGCATGCAGAGAAAGAAGCATATGATTTACATGTGGTCCAGTTGAAAATAAACATAATGGCACATCCATCTTCTACTATACCTGCTTAACTGTAATTTTTTCTTTTTTTTTTTGATGGAGTAAGTCAACTTACAAGATATTTAGTCAATCTGTTTTCAAAATTGATTACAAAAAACACTGTTTTAAGATAA